ACCATGAGTATAGGTAGAATGTTAATTCTATCCTGTCGTTCTAAAGGGATTTATAATGATAGAGTGAATCATGGCGTCTAAAATGATTCATAACGCTAGAGTGAATCATGGCGTCCACAATGATTCACAACATAGAATAAGATACGATACGACTAGTGAGAGCATCATTAAGCCACACAGGTGTACTAATTGCCTTACTCTTATACATCACAGGTAACTACAGGCAGGTGTATGTGTGACCAGGTAAGACTCTCTCTCCATTACATACCTAAACTTCCTACAATAAGTTATCACAATATTCATACAAGGTCACATAATACAAGAATAACATAACACGGCAATTACACTAGCAATTACCGAAGGCAGTCACGAACAGGTGTGTGACGCCTCAAGGTTGATTAGCTGTGATTAATGTTACCTGAAAGTTCCCCTCCTTACCTGACGGTGTGTGTGTGACCCTGGCCTTACCCACCCACCCACCCACCTACCCACCCTCTCTCTCAACCACACCCACACACACGTATCGCCCCCATCAAGACCAACTCTGCCAAACTATTTAAAAAAGAGCCTCCTCCTCCTCCTCCTCTTAACACACACTACAGGAGGTGACAGTCATCCTTCCCTCCTTGTCTTATCTTAGGTCGTAACTACCCAACCTCCCCCGTTTACATCGTCAATACGTCGTAAGTTATAAAAGTTATATACTCTATATCGTCATTCTTCATAAACGTATACAGTATATATCCGGATTATTCAAAAACGCATCTATAATCGGATTTCCTGTTACAGTCATAGGTAAATTTTCTCTCTCCCTTACACCCCCCCCCCACCTCGACCTGCTGAGGCTTACAGTTGGCACCTAGTTAGGGTAGAGTCTTAGTGCAATTTCCACGTCATCTTGATCGTAAGTATATGACGTTTAGATTAGCAAAGACACACACACACACTATATATCGCCCCCCCCCCGGCCTCCCAATATCCAGTAACTACAGCATTAAAAGCATCTCACTCAGCCACGACTCTCCGCACATACTGAAAGAAACAAACAAAAATATTCTCCTGCAGTCATTGCCTGCTGGAGCACTGCCAGGCACTACCGTAGGTCGTGTCAGTCCTCTCTCTCTCTCTCTCTCTCTCTCGGATACGTTACATAAGACTAAAGTGAGGTCGTCTTATGTATGTATGTATGTATGTATGTATGTATGTATGTATGCAATAATAAAAATAATAAAAATAATAATAATAATAATAATAATAATAATAATAATAATAATAATAATAAGAGTATGCATGCCATTTTGTGTGTGTGTGTGTGTGTGTGTAAAAGACAAGATTTACGGAACAATTAACTAGGCTGGACAGGAGCGCCCCACACACAGCACCAACCCATACACAGTTTACACGTGTATCCCTCAGGTTGTCTGGCGCCGCGGGACATGATTCTAGTCTTATAAACAGTACAGGAACGAGCAGGCTTATATACACACACCCTTAACCACCCTCCTCCTCTTAAACACGACCCTTACCCCTACACAGCAAGAGGAGGCAATTGAGGGTTAACGTGTTGCTGGGTAATTCACACTAAGCCCTTCGTCAGGTGGCTCTCTTTGGCGATGAGAGGACTTAGTGGTAATACTCCCTTGAACCTCACTACATTCTCCTGACGCAGGTTTATGACAATCTGCCACATTTCCAAATCCTCCAAAAAAATGGTAACTTTATTTTTTCCCATAAATAAGAATTCCTATATAGTTACTGTAGTCTCAATACCATATCGACGTCATTTTGGTCGCCATCTTAGCTCAAGAGGTTAAAAAAAAAAGTCACTACAATGAGACAGCCTGTCTGCCATCACTGTACAGGAGCTTCAGACAGACACGTTAGTTTAGTCACTATCATCTTACCGTAACTTAAATGATCCAATTCAGATACGCTTCACACCTCCATTTAGTGAACATATCTTATTAACTTATGAACCTCGGGGAGCATTGCTATATTCTGATCATGAGGTGAGCATAAGCCCATGCTTCCTTACTACAGAACCTATGGAAGGTACCCAGCATTACCCGACGGACTAACACTAAAGGTCGAGAGTGGACAGGAGGACTTCGGCAGATGTGCAAGACGTACTTTGATTTTTTTAACCTTATCTCTACACGCCATCCCACCAAGGTCACAGGTTATCTAGGTAGTGTGTACAAAAGTTCCTCTACACACAGCGCCAATTGATACCCCTCACCTTATCTTTCTATATAATTGGTAAATAAAAGTGCCTATACATTATACACCAAACAAGGAATCCCATGATAAACTTCCACAAGTATCAAGTCCCAAACAGTGCAGACAGTCAGTGACACTCAACACCACACACCGGGGGGCCATCTGCCACCCATCACGTGCTCTTGCTGTCTGTGGGTCATCTCTTACAGTGAGTATAAACATGAACTAAAACCCTCAGTCAAAGTGTGTGTGTGGATAACTCTATTACGCACACACACACACACACACACACACATAATATGACAGGCCAACTCATATATTTTTCTATCTACCTATCTATCATATACACCTTTGAACAATACACACTAATAATTCTATATAAACACGAAATAAATAACCAAACTCACCTTCTCTCAAAATGGCTAAAGTAAACAAACAATCTAACTTCATTTACACAATCATTAACGTCTTCCTTGTGATCACACGAGTAAGTTCAACCAACACTTACAATGACAATCAGGCAAACAAACGAGACAGACAGAGAAGGTAAGGTAGTCTTGTGTTTTCGACAATGTCAACAATGATGTCCCGTGTGTGTTTGTGTCATCAGCTGACGGAGCGATGCGTTACTCCTCATTCTCGAACACTGTACGTTAATTTAACCCCTTGAGTGAGATGACTTAACCCCATGAGTGAGATGACTTAACCCCTTGAGTGAGATGACTTAACCCCATGAGTGAGATGACTTAACCCCTTGAGTGAGATGACTTAACCCCATGAGTGAGATGACTTAACCCCTTGAGTGAGATGACTTAACCCCTTGAGTGAGATGACTTAACCCCTTGAATGAGATGACTTAACCCCATGAGCAAGACGAATTGATGACTTAAAGGAGTAAAGTCATGAGATGACTTAACCCCATGAGTGAGATGACTTAACCCCTTGAGTGAGATGACTTAACCCCATGAGTGAGATGACTTAACCCCTTGAGTGAGATGACTTAACCCCTTGAGTGAGATGACTTAACCCCTTGAATGAGATGACTTAACCCCATGAGCAAGACGAATTGATGACTTAAAGGAGTAAAGTCATCGCACTCTAGCACTAAAACACACTCACACTAACGAACACACTAACACTAAAACACACTCACACTAACGAACACACTCTAGCACTAAAACACACTCACACTAACGAACACACTCTAGTACTAAAACACACTCACACTAATGAACACACTCTAGCACTAAAACACTCACACTAACGAACACACTCTAGCACTAAAACACACTCACACTAACGTACTCTAGCAAAGTAAAGTGATTCCTTCAGATAACAGTTGGATGTCACACAACCTGCCCGACCTACCTAAGTGGCACTGTTACCACACAATGCAATTAAAGCGGTGCCACCTTCACCATGATACAATCAGTGCCACCTGCAGCATGATATTAGTGCCACCTTCCCCATGATACAATCAGTGCCACCTTCACCATGATACAATCAGTGCCACCTTCACCATGATACAATCAGTGCCACCTTCACCATGATATAATCAGTGTCATCTTCAACGTGATACAATCAGTGCCACCTTCACCATGATACAATCAGTGCCACCTGCAGCATGATATTAGTGCCACCTTCACCATGATACAATCAGTGCCACCTGCAGCATGATATTAGTGCCACCCTTCATGATACAATCAGTGCCACCTTCACATGATACAGTGCCACCTGCAGGCGATACAATCAGTGCCACCTTCACTATGATACAATCAGTGCCACCTGCATGATACAATCAGTGACACTCATCATGATACACAATCAGTGCCACCTGCAGCATGATGCTGCCAATCAGTGCCACCTGCAGCATGATACAATCAGTGCCACCTTCACCATGATACAATCAGCGCCACCTGCATGATATTAGTGCCAATTTTCACCATGATACAATCAGTGCCACCTGCATGATAATCAGTGCCACCTTCACCATGATACAATCAGTGCCACCTGCAGCATGATACAATCAGTGCCACCTAAGTAGCATGATATTAGTGCTAATTTCACCATGATACAATCAGTGCCACCTGCAGCATGATATTAGTGCTAATTCTTCACCATGATACAATCAGTGCCACCTGCAGCATGATACAATCAGTGCCACCTTCACCATGATACAATCAGTGCCACCTTCACCATGATACAATCAGTGCCACCTGCAGCATGATATTAGTGCCACCTTCACCATGATACAATCAGTGCCACCTGCAGCATGATATTAGTGCCACCTTCACCATGATACAATCAGTGCCACCTGCAGCATGATATTAGTGCCACCTTCACCATGATACAATCAGTGTCATCTTCAACGTGATATAACCCTGTACTTTGCCCACAAGCGGAATTAAATGATATTCTAAACTACAGGATATAAAATCACGTACAATTCGCTCCCGTCTTCTCTCACAATACACAGTCGCCGGAAACTAATGACCGAGTTTGATAAGGAAGAACTTGCTGATCTTCGCTGGGTTTTAGAAGAAGCAAATTAAACCTATTAAATGCAGCTGTTACCCAAAAAAATATACATATAAATTAAAGAAAACACAGAAGCCAACTCAGAGGTTTTAAAATGGTGATTAAACAGTTGTAAAAAAATCAGTTACATCAACAACTTATAAAATATTGTCGTAGGTGTGAGAAAAGTTTAACACAAGACGCGATATTTAGCCAGACTTAAGAGTGGCCACACACCTGCATCACCAAGCAACGAGACTCACCTGTGCTGGTGTCCTGTATTAGTGAGGCAGGATGGTAACTTCTACTGGTGGACCGGGAAAGTATATGTGGCTGTTGACTTGGTGTAGGTCAAACTCAGTTTCTATCACAATCAAACACTGTAAAGTCAGTAGAGAGACGGGTGTACAGTACACGGTGTCCGCTGGTCTGTACAGTACAGTGGTCGTGAGAGAGAGTAGAGATGTTTGTTGTATCGCGCGGTGCACGTGCCAGAGGTGTGGAGGTGCTCACCAGACGTACTGCACCCGACCACTGTTGGCCACACACTGACGCCCTTCCACCACAGCACCACTTCCACCACAATGCCTGCTGCTGCTGTTGGTGTGATTACAGCCACTGCTGCTTCTACCACCACAGTGCCTACACCTCCACCACACTGACTACTACCACCATCTCCATCACCTTGCACTACATGGACAGCAGTAATGAAGCATCACTGTCCCCAGGTATCACCCCAAACCACGTTCCTCACACCTGTCATCGTTTACCTCCACAAATTACTATATTAAACCCCACCTGAACAAGACCCCACAACCTTTTCCCTCAACTTGGCCAGGGCTATTTTAGAATTAATACAGTACATACGTTCATTGATATTAAGAAAATAAACACCTCTATCTAAATTTTTATCTCGCGTCTTAAAGTTTCCTCGAGAGTGGAAATATATGACCCGAATTAATTGTGTGACTTAAAGGAATGTACAGAATGCAGTCACACACACACAAAGCCAAGGTCAGGCGGTGACACCCAGTAATCTGAGGGTAAAATAATCAATGACAATCTTGACCTTGACCTTAAATGAGGTTGACCCAGCGAGAGGTGGCGGTACTCTTTAATATGAAACTGAGTGGATCGGCTGTGTGTGTGTGTGTGTTAACTGGTACTGGCTCGAACAAGTTTACTGTCATTCGTAGAATCAACGCAGTCTGAAATACATCACCATGGTTACCAGATCCTTGTGGCGATACAGCCATTTCATAAGTTGTATAGAAGGAATTACAGTCTCGGATAATGAAATCAGAATGTAATGAAATACAGTAACACCTTCCATCCAACCAGTTATATCGAGAAAACACAACCATTTAATTTTTAATTGTTGGTGACTAATGGCGCATATGTACCAACCATATTATCACATATCACATCAATACCACGGCCATAAATGTATAATCTCTCTCTCTTTCTCTCTTTTGGTATTTATTTTCCATGACGCAGGTTCAGACGGAAACATTCCGATATAAAAACAACGCAGGGAACTCCTCCACACGTCACGGTAACCTTGAAGGAGGTAAAAATCTGACACAAGGCCACACTCCACTAACTTCCGCTATTGATCAACACCAGACAAATATACAGTATATGCGATCATTTGAAGATTAACACTATTCCTGAGTTTATTTTACCTGATGATTAAACATCCTAAAGCTAACCTGAGAGAGGAAGGTTAGGTTTGGTTAGGTATACTTGGGAGATGTTACAACTAGATTACATATGGACTGAGTGACAGATGTGTGGTTGGCCTAATAAGATACAGTGAACCTTGGAGGATAAACAGATGCATTGCAAGGTGTAGAGGAGACAGTAAATAGTGTTCAACATATATAAGTACAGTGTGTGTGTGCGGTTTAGTGTTATTTTGTTTGGGTTAAGTCAAATTGTAATTATCTTTACTTCAGCTCCACACCTTGGGAGGATAACCTGTGTTTTGACAACGATTGTTTTGCAGGGCCGACAAGCCGAGTCCTTGGGTCTGGTTGACTTTCATTTTGTCTGATTCAGCTCCTTGAACTGGAAAAAAAGCAAAAGTTTTATTATCCAACTCAAAGCGAAGGAGCTGCTAATGTTATTAGTGATGTAAAATTACTCCAAACCTACTCGACATGGCCACCTCTAGCGGGTAGCAATTAGGTAAAAAAAAATGGTAATACCGCAATGTATTGTACAGTATATTGTAATCAAGATGACTTCTTCAGCAGATATATACAGACAGGGCGACACAAACAGGGGTCTCTTTATCAGGGATACTGTTCTCTTTGTTTAGATAGGAACCAATTTTGAACCCGCATTTTACCTCTCAGTAAAATTAGGACTTTAGGAATCCGGCCCCTAATACGAACGCCAACAGTTAGCAACTGCTTACTAAATATTATTAAGACATAAGAATAATAAGTGCTTTGTTCATCAAATATTTGAGAAAAATCGCTAATATGTACCCACTCACCGCTTAAGGATGCGCTCTCTCTCTGGAAAATAACAAAATGATGTAAGTGGCTGTTTTTTGGCGAATTTGATCAACAGAGTGCACGACCACCGTACTTAAGTGTGTCTCTTGTGGGTACCGAGGCTCGAACCCGAATCACGGAAAGCAGAGGGAAGCCCTACAACCAAAGATACTATATTCAATGCAGTATTTTGGCTATAACTGAATTAACACCCTTACAATATTTATAATTACAGAGCCGTGTGTAAAATTGGTAGCAGCAGCACTAGCCTGCCCAATTTCGTGGATGAAGCTGTAGAGACAAAGTAGATAGATGAACCCAAATACAAATCTGAATTTACACTTACAAGTGAACGCAGCTGATGGCTGTAAACAAACCCAGTCTGGGAAACTCACCAGCAGGTCGAGCCACTTACGAGCACTACTACTACTACTACTACTATAATAATGATAATATTCAGTAAAATCATCACACAAACTTACAATTGGTATGTATATATACTATGCAGGTATATAATTAAGCAGGTGTATATGTAATGCAGGTATTTGGTGTACGTGAACCATACAATGTATACAGTAAGGCAATTCAACCAAGGATAGCTGAAAAAATAATAAATATAACCAAAAAATACTGAGATAGTTATGGTTAGCATATTGTTGTTTTTTCTCATCTTGGTAATACTGTACAGTATTTTCATTTTGGACTGCATATTTAGGTAAATTTGCATAAGTGGGCCCAACTCAATTTCTTAATTAAAAACACGTTTTTTGCATAGTTCACACTTGTCTAAGACACTTTTCTTCTATGGCATTTCCGTCAGAAATTTATATTTTTCGTGTATGTTAATAGACAAAATTACCAACAATAATACTTGTTTAAAGTGGGCAGGGCTGTGAAGTCGAGGGAAATTTGGGGGTAAATACTAAAAATAACAGCAAACAAACCAATGAAAACCTTACCTAACATTAGACCTCCTGGAGTTAAACAAAATGAAAATTCTAATTGTTGAAGTTCTCTGGTGAATTGACTATTGTGGACACTAAATGCAAATTAGATAATGTCGTTTAAGATTATTGTATTCCCACCACTAGAGTACACTACAGTATCAATGCAGTAATTAGACTACAATGATTACAATATACCATTTACATAACATACTTGTGCTGTACTTTGATATGTTTGTTAATAAAAAATATTGACACCGGTTGAGGTATAACGTAGTTACTAGTTACAGGCATAGTATAGTACAGTACTGTAGTCCAGTATGAAAATAAGGTTAGAATCATGTATGATTTTTCTTCTCATTGGGTTATTGTAGTACAGTACGTATACGTTAAGTGTAGCCTATGTTCTCTTAAGTTTGTCTAATAAATGAATTAATATTAAAGTATTATTGCCATTTCATTAAAGTAAACTTAATCTGTAAACAGGTTTATAACAACTTTAAATCTCTAATCAGCTTTATCTCCTTTCATTTGCAGACATGTTCTCAAAGATATTTATACGACATGCCAGTCACAAGGTCTATCGTCTTCCCCCAGTCAAGTTCCGTTATGCTAATGACATACCTTCATCTACGAATAAACAGGCAGGAGAGTTGCCAAGAATCACATCTCCTGTTGTAACTGAAAAAGCAGAGAAGACTTACAGAAACATACAGAATAAATCAGGATGGCAAAACGATAAAAGAAAATATTACCCGAACTCGAGTGATGATAAGCCTAATAATAAAGTGAGGTCAGAAAGGATTAATGATAATAATAATAAATATAATGATTTGGATTCTGAGAACACTAAGCATTATAACCCTGATAAATACTTCAACCATGAAAGAAAAAGAAGTTCACAACTCAATATGAAGTATGCAAACAGACACCACACAACTGATAAAATACTTCATCTTTCTAAGAGAGAAATGAGAAATGGTAAAAATAATAATAAATTGAACTTTGAACCTGTGGGTGAATTAATATATGGAGTGTTTCCTGTCCTTCTTGCACTCAGGGCTCAACGACGGAAATTTCATAATATATTTTATAAAAAAGGAAACGAAGATAAAAATAATAAAATTCAAGAAATTTTAGAGACCGGAAAAAAACACAGTATAAAGATTCATGGTTTAGGCGGTTCAGAGTTTAAATTAATTTTCAAAGGAGACCAAGCACACCAAGGAATATGTTGTGATGTTAGTCACCTTTTATTTGAAAATCTAAACACTGAGAATTTTTACCACACGATGAAGCCCGGTGAGAGTATGAACCTAAATAAGACGAAAGAGAATGAATTAGTGGAGCATCAACCAGAATCATCACCTGGAGAGGATCAAGAAAGACCACACCAGCTGTGGCTATATCTTGATAGGATTCAAGATCCTATGAACTTTGGAGCTGTTATAAGGTCAGCTTACTTCACTGGAGTAGATAAAGTATTTACTCCTATGGAACACAGGTAAGGCTTCATACATTCTTTGTTGTTCATCAAATTTAACAACTTTACCCAAATTGCTATTTTTACATCTTTGATTTTTTTTTAAAAAGTCGATAAATAAAAGGAACTTGCATTATTCATTCTTCCATTAATGCTGAGATGCGTTTACAGTTGCAGAATCTCTGGTGTAGTAAGTAAAGCCAGCGCTGGAGTAGCAGAGGTACTGCCCGTGTACCAGGTGGATGATCCAGTGACATTCTTTAGCAAGTTATCTGACGTAGGTTGGCACTTGGTGGCCTCCTCATCGAGTGGAACTACTGCAACAACAACATCTATCAGTGATTTTCTGCCTCTGGGGAACACTTTACTGGTCGTGGGTTAGTATTTTATTAATGTCTTTTGTCTTTCCTCCTCTCCAATTTGTGTGTGAGGTGGGTCAAGGGGCACAGATAACTCAAAGAAAGGGGGGTAACTAATAGGGTAGGGTGGAACAAGATACTGTATGGGTAGCGGACTAACATAATAAGTAGAAACATCCACACACATTTATACTGGTACTGTACTCACTAATTGTATTCTGTATGTTTTAACCTTTTCTCAGATTCATATACCACTTATAATTTGGAATAAAAAATATGATAAAATGAAATTTATGAGGATCAGGTGTAATGCGTATTCTACTAGATCTCTCAAACCATGCATCTTGCTCCAGGGCCGGCAAGATGTGAATAGGTGCTTTCACTTCAACCATTAGTATGCTTATATCTTCATTAATATCAATTTGCACTAGAATTATTATATAAGAAAATCGATTTAATTGTTAATTCTACATAAGAAAAATCTCGTATCATCTTAGCCTAATGATTACTGAAAAAAAAAATAATTCAGTGGTTCGACTCCAACAATACCACACATGATCGTTCATACACAATGGCAGAACTAGTTAAAATATGCAAACAATACACAGAAAAAAAGTGTTATGAAATAGACCACATAGCAATATATCACAGGACACAAAGGGCTCAGACTGCCTCCTTATCAATGTGTGTTCAATCTGATTGAACTCATTTGGGCCCAAGTAAAAACCAAGATGAAAGGAGAACTTGAATGCTAATTAATATCTGAAGAGAGTTGAAGAAATCGTTAAAGTATCAATGCAACACGTGACCCAAGAACACGGGCGAAGCTGAATAAATCATAATCTGACGAAAACAGTGATGAGTTGATGAACTAATGATGGAAGGATAGCTGTGTGTGTGTGTGTGTGTGTGTGTGTGTGTGTGTGTGTGTACATTTTATGATTGCCATGAAATAGAAATTATATTTCTGATGTACAAGAGAGAGAGAATGGCCTGTAAAATGCTGTGTTAACACACACTGATCTGTTTACGTACTTACCGGGGTTCATATACAAATTGTCGAGGATACGTCTGACAAAAAACATTTCTCCCCACCCTTTGATACATATAAAGTTAATAGCCTGAATAAAAATATTTCAATTGCCAATAAAAAAATTATTGACTATTAGTTAAGCATCAAGGGGTTGAACATAGGCTATTTGTTCCTCAATTTTTGCATTTCATAAATGTACATTTTCATAAATCATGACATGCATGTACAATATAGTACAGTCACTCCTCGACTTACGATGGGGTTCCGGACCGACGACCAGGTCGTAAGTCGAATTGGTCGTAAGGCGAAAAGGCGAAAATAATACATAGAAATTCTAAAATGGGTGTCTCTTTTTCTTCTCAGCACCACGAGAACTCTCACTTTTAAGCTTGCCAGCCATTTTAAAGGGAATTACAAACGAAACTTTTGTCAGTACACAGCGCGATCACTTACGTCAGGACTCGAAAATACGTAATTTGAAAAATATTTTATACGACCACGGCGGTCGTATGTCCGGGTTGTTGTAAGTCGAGTATGTCATAAGTCGTGGAGTACCTAACACCCAATTTTACTTGTATTCCTTTATGATTTTTTTTAATTTAAGAAATATGAATAAGGTGTGCCCAGGGTGTAGAATACAATTCACTTCAGCTGTCAGAAATAGTCATACTGTATAGATATAATGTTGATTTTTATATTCATACAGTATACTAAAGAGATGTCTTTACCTTGCAAAGCTGGTTTGCAGAGTGGCTCTGTAACAGTTATGAACCACGAAGGTGTTGACATATTACACGGTACAGCACAGAATTTAACATTTTCAACTTTTCGCTCCTGTCTGAATTGGAGTTTTCTGTTGCAAAGATTTACTGTTGCTGAAAAATTAAACGTGAAAGTTTTATTCTTTATAGTACAGAACTGTTATTGAATGTATATATTGTGTAAGTGTAATGCTCCAATACGTTATTTTTTCTTTGATACAGGTAATGAAGGAACAGGAGTTTCCCAAGACTTAGAAAGAATATGCAAAACAGTTGTAACGATTCCTTCTGGGAGGGTCTTGGATCATGATGCTCATTGTCTTAATGTGTCTGCAGCAACTGCTGTTATTTTACATCATCTCCAAACAAAATTAAAACCTCATTGAACTTAAGAAGCACCATATAAATTACCTGTACAAACAATTATATGATATTATGAAAGTCTGCAATAATATGCAGTTTCATGGCAAAGGACTTTGATTAGTGGTGTGTGATATCCATACTGTACTATATAAACACCCTCAGGTAGAGCCCATATTTTGCCACAGGGCTTCATGTTTAATGATAAGATACACTGTCCAGACAGACAGTGTTTTTGCTGCAAGCAGCTATAACACCTGCCTGAACATGGGTAACATAATGATGCCATTAAATCATAACTTAGAAATGGGATTATACCAGATCAGCACAAGCCCTCTTGTAGAGCCATAGAACAGTTCTTCCTCAGTGGACCTCTCTGAATGGATGGGTTCATTAGCCCAAGCCTGGGGTTCCCACTTCAAAGGATTAGTAGACAAAGTTGCTGAGTATTCATGTATACAATATCAATCTACATACTGCAAAACATTTTCAACATTAAAAATTCTCTATGGCTGCCAATGTTCTTCAGACATACTCTAGTACATATATTATACCTAAAATCTTTCAATTAGTGAGAGTTAACAGTGGGTTTTGACCCATGATCTAATTGGACTTTGATTCTACCTCTGGATCAATTGAAATAAAACTTTGAACCTGGTTTAGGTGGATGAGAAGGCTGCTTGTACAAAAAATAACTGTCAGGCTGGATGGTGAATCCTGCCACTAGACATACTTTACTGTATCACTCACTGGAAGCTCTGCCAGAAGGTGTTTTAGCTATATCTCACTGGTCATAGTTCTCCTTCACTCAGTCCTAATATATTACAGTATCTCATAGTTCAATCCTTCATTTATAATTTGAGAAAGGTAAATGCGCAGGTGAAGAAAGGTTATATGTTAAACATTACGTACAGAAAGCATATTAAATTTGTATTTCAATGTGTCACTGCTGTACTGAATCAAATACTTTAAATGAAATTTTAGTTTTGTATACTGTATTTGATACAGGGTACTTTTATTTCAAAAGCATCCTACATGTATTTGTTATAGTGAACCAGGGGAGTTAGTAACTATTCGAATGTCTTGATGTCACTCCCAAAGGATTAAAAGAGAAAATTAATAGCTACTTGGATTGTTTTTACAAGAAAAGTCAACCACCTTGTATAAGGCAGAAAGAAGCAGGATGGTATATTACACTTCAGTAAATACTGTACAATCATTTTCCCCTTAATGTACATTCCTCCACCAATACATATCTTTAATAATACTGTAGTACCATTTATGTCCAAGCTAACATATATAGTGTGTATAGTATATCCACAGATATGTACACTGCCTGCTTGCTGAACCCATTCATTCTGAATCCTCTTGTGCATGCTGATGCTCTTTGCTTTATTTATTTTTTTGTTCACTTCCACCTCTAACCATGTGGACAATCAATTTGTTCTTTGTTATGACCTTCATTGTCCAATGTTAGGACAGGAGGAAACCGGAGTACAGTACAGTATACAGTACCTAGAAGAAATCTGCAATGTATAGTAGGGTCAATTTTGATTAGGAATTGAACCCACTACACGGTTGGGGAAGCAAGCACATTACCATTGGTTGTTTCATTAAGGTCACAGTTACAGTGTGTTTTGTATTGCGACCGAATATTTCGTTACAGCTTACTCAAATGTTTTGGGACATCTCAAATTTAACACAGGTTTCTATGAGAATATACTGTCCAGGTAACATAGGTACACTCGCCCCAAAAAGTATCTTTACAGAGGAGTCCGATGAATCTCAAAATGAACACCATGACTCCTGTTGTGTCAGTAAGGTTGTTAAAATCCTTCCTCCATTGTGTCACATTTTCTTGAACAAAATTGTAAAGATACATTTTGGAGCGAGTGTACATCCGGCTACCATATAGGATTCCAAGAATGCATCATGAACATTAAGGGGATGCTGCCTGTATAATAATAGAAGCTCTGATCTTGGAGGTAGTACACTGCCTGGTTCTGATCCCCCATAAGGGAAAAATACTGTACTGTACATTATATGCAAGTTGAGGGTATGAGAGTTTATGGAGTGGAATTTCTAACTTACTGTTTTAATTCTTGTTGCTTCTACTCTTTGTGCACTATTGTCCCAAAGTATTTCACCAATCATGGGTCCAGTGGTAGTATGTACAGGGGAAACTGGAGTAACCAGTTAAAACCTTCACACATCCAACTCAGACTTACATCCAGGACACAAAGTGAGAGGTAAGTGTGCTACTGTAGAACCACCAAAGTCCCTCATTCAGTGGACATGTGGATGCTGTGCAGGTTGGAATTTTGCTTTTTCTGAACATGAGAAGTCATTGTCACTGGTTAAAAAGGATGATTTATGAATATAAATATGGGCTGAGGCAGTGCTTAATTTATAAAATAAGAAGTGTGGAACTCTTAGTGAGCCAGACAGATGCCGACCTAGCTTGTGGAACTGGCAAGGAATTTATATACAGTACATAGTACTGTTGCCAGTATTTATTAATATGTGATTAAATTTAAAATTTATTGTACTCGTGCAAAATAAAAGTGCCTGAATGTCATTCCGGTGCGTTCCAGGACAAGTTACCGTAATTGCTGGGCTAAGGATAACTAGAAATATTTTAGAATGTTACCAAACATCACAGGTTTTCTTAGTGTTTCCTCCTGTGCTAACACTGGACAATAAAGTTCATAAAGTAAAAAAAAACAAAAAACATTGCTTGAACAGTTAGTAAGCTGGTAAGTGGTGTAAAGATAAATAATAAAAAATATCTAAATTCTGATCAATCGTCATTCCAACTTTGGACTATACACAAAGACTCAAATTAAAATGTTTGGTGGCTGTGTGATATTTAAAGATTTTTTTTTTTTTTTAACCCAAATGTCATGAAGTTCGAGGTAAACTGCTAATAAAGTGGCACTGTATAACTAAGTTTGCAATGTGTTGGGTCTGAGTGTACCCAGGAAGTGCGAGTGGGCATTTTAACTGCAAGTTACCTGTCTGAAAATCCAATTTAATTACAATAAACCCTCGCTTTACGCGGTTTCACTTTATGTATAATGTAGCTAGCTTGTGCCTTCACCTGCGTACCAGTCTCTTGAGTTCTTAATCATACGTAATTATATCTGTGGAGTGTGTTTATGATAAAAAATACAACCATAGTGAATGACCATATTCTAAAATTCTAAATTCAAGCCACGTGTTTCTAAGACAATCATTCAATGTTGTTACCGTTGTTTATACACCTGCAATGGCTATGTACATTGTTTGTATACCTGCTATATATATATATATATATATATATATATATATATATATATATATATATATATATATATATATATATATATATATATATATATATCATGTAGATCCACAATGAAAACGTGTTTAAGATTAATCTTGAAAAAATCACAAGGGGAAAAGAGAAACAATGGAGCACCTTAGCTTTCGTCTTTATTCAAAACATCTTCAGAGGCAGGGCTGACGGGACTTCCAACTCTTCTTTACCGAACACGCTGATTGGTTCAACTGCTCGCGTTGTGATTGGTTGCGAGATAATGACATAATATTACTATTTTCTATAATATAATGTGTGGTGAGGGGTAACGAAGATCCCAGATACAGTAATTATATTAGAGTAGTCCTCATACTCAGTGAATTTCATTGTTCCTGTCATTAGTTTTATAAATTTCTGAATAATAAACACTGCATTATACACCATTCAGAGTGTTATATATGATCACATTAGGTTTGTATTTTATCAATTGTAATTTGTATTACTTTTCGATAATACTGAATAAAAATAACCAAAACATTCCACCAATTTTATTTTGACTACATAAAAAATATAATTCTGCTAAAATATCGCTAGTTAAATGTAGGTAAGGTAATTAAATACATCTACAATTTATTTCTTTGTATTCTATATGGTATTTTAGCCATGAAAAAGCATATTTCCTAAAGACGGTAATTTACCGAGTCGGAGCAGTGACGTCACAGCTTACCGACTACGTCATCAATTTACCGATTAGCAGACGACGTACCGGATTTGAACCAATCAGCGTGTTCGATAAACAAGAGTCGGAAATTCCGACAACCCTGTTCAGAGGCCTGTAGTGGACTTCTCCCCTACAACTGCGTAGCGGCTTCACCAGCTGCTACCATCTTCCCTAGCAACCAAGCGAGCGGCGACAGCAGATGTTACCGTAACCTAGCAACGAACCAAAGACCGGCGACTTTCTCGGGTTTTCCCAACATGACTCATAGAGGACTCACGGCTGCTGGGTATATAAGCTCTGTCTCTCCATTGAGATTCATTCTGGTCTCTCTTCTACAACACGCAACACCACCTCCTCCGCCGCTGCCTGGCGGCCCTCGCCTCTCCTCCGCCTGCCTGGCGGTCCTCACTCCCGCCAGCGAGCATGGTGACCCACCAGCTGTCCTTCTCTGAGCTTCCTCACCAACCAGCTTTCTCATTCTGGCCATTCTTCTTGAACACGCAACACCTACTCCAGCAAGCTCCTCGCTGACCAGCATTCATTCAACCAGGAGGCCAGCAACAGGCAACATCTTCTCTAACGAAGCTCCTGCACATCTACCTCCTTCAACACGCTACTCACCGAACGTCTCTACTGAGCAGCTCCTCACCACACGGCACCCCCAGCACCAGACTGTCTATCATATAACTTATATTATACAAGAAAACCACCTTAGAGTTTCCATCCATCCTGAGTGCTAGACAACATTATACCACGAATTCCTACAAATGGTGACTCCCGGAGATTAGCACTCACACAGGATGGAGGAGACACTGATCACGCTCCCAGTCTTCAAGCAGACACCGGCTCCTCTTCCTGCCCCAAGCACCACATCCTACCGACCCCAGCACACCCGTCCTGCCTCAGACGCCGACCCCGGCCCAGCAGTAACCCCTGACGCGGCCTCTGTTCCTGAGTGCGGACCCCACACACACCCCTCTTTTCTCCCTCAGGTACTCCCTGCTAATGTCCTGCACCCTGCTGCTGTCGTGGACCCAGCTGCTGTCACGAGCCCTAATCCGCTTCTGCTGACGCAGCCCCTGCTCCTGACCCAGGCCCACACACACCCCAGCAGGCGCATCTGACGACCCTGTACCTGTCGTGAGGGAAGCACAACATTCATCGCCTCCACACACCCTCTTTTCTCCCTCAGGTACTCCCTGCTAATGTCCTGCACCCTGCTGCTGTCGTGGACCCAGCTGCTGTCACGAGCCCTAATCCACTTCTGCTGACGCAGCCCCTGCTCCTGACCCAGGCCCACACACCCCAGCAGGCGCATCTGACTACCCTGTACCTGTCATGAGGGAAGCACAACATTCATCGCCTCCACACACCCTTTTTCTCCCTTCTCCCACAGATAGTGTGTATCTAGACAGTTGTACTTCAGCGATCGGCTCATTCACGCCATCGCCGTTGTCTCACATGAGGCATGCACCGCCCGGTCTGCCTCACATGTGCTAAGCAACTCTACAGACAACAAGTCTCCTACACCGCCTGGAGGGAAGGGGGAGTATTGTAGTGGACTTCTCCCCTACAACTGCGTAGCGGCGTCACCAGCTGCTACCATCTTCCCTAGCAACCAAGCCAGCGGCGACAGCAGATGTTACCGTAACCTAGCAACGAACCAAAGACCGGCGACTTTCTCGGGTTTTCCCAACATGACTCATAGAGGACTCATGGCTGCTGGGTATATAAGCTCTGTCTCTCCATTGAGATTCATTCTGGTCTCTCTTCTACAACACGCAACACCACCTCTGCCGCTGCCTGGCGGCCCTCGCCTCTCCTCCGCCTGCCTGGCGGTCCTCGCTCCCGCCAGCGAGCATGGCGACCCACCAGCTGTCCTTCTCTGAGCTTCCTCACCAACCAGCTTTCTCATTCTGGCCATTCTTCTTGAACACGCAACACCTACTCCAGCAAGCTCCTCGCTGACCAGCATTCATTCAACCAGGAGGCCAGCAACAGGCAACATCTTCTCTAACGAAGCTCCTGCACATCTACCTCCTTCAACACGCTACTCACCGAACGTCTCTACTGAGCAGCTCCTCACCACACGGCACCTCCAGCACCAGACTATCATATAACTTATATTATACAAGAAAACCACCTTAGAGTTTCCATCCATCCTGAGCGCTAGACAACATAATACCCCGTAACCCTACAGGCCTCTGAAGTCTGAAGATGTCTTGAATAAAGACGAAAGCTAAGGTGCACCATTGTTTCCCCTTTCCCTGAGTGGTTTTATCAATATATATATATATATATATATATATATATATATATATATATATATATATATATATATATATATATATATATATATTATATTATATATATATATATATATATATATATATATATAAATATATATATATATATATATATATATATATATATATATATATATATATATATATATATATATATATATATATATATATATATACACACTTGCTGTCTGTATACAGTACAGCACTGTATATCTGCAGTCAGTAAGCGATAAAATGGTAGAAAAAACATTTTAGGTACTGAACAAAGGATGTTAGTGTAAGCGTCTAGTTACACCATGTCCGGCACACCCCAAATACCACCAGCACACCCACTACTATTACGTTATACAAGCACTACTCCTCACTTGTAGGCTATTTACACAGCCTCCTCCAGTCTCATGCCCTTCTAAACATCATGGGAACCCCCCGCCTTTCATTCTAGGACTGGAAGCCCGGCAGATACAGTATTAAGAGAAACAGAGTCAGTCATTACTCACTTATGTTCTCGGTTCCGGTGGCCCGTAGGGTGGCATCCTGTGGGAACGCAGTGCAGATGCGGTAGTTGTACACAAATTAAAAGAATAAGTGGTTGGAGCTGATTATTTTGCAGTAAAAAGTCTCCCCAGTTGTTACTGTATCAACGGCTCGCTGATATCGTGTCATCGAGACCAGTGAAACACGGAAAACAGGTGGCGCGAATGTTCCAATCAAGGAAGCATTCATCAGCCGTCGAGTTGGGAAGGATGTGAACCATCCGTCAACTTCAGCTGTGGTACTGCTGCCACCAAGACTGGTGAAGAATATAGTACTGAAGACGGTTTGTCACCATATACAGTACACTAATCATATTTAACCATTACTTATGATTTCTCACTTTTCAATTATTAAAAAAAATTACTTTCATATATATATATATATATATATATATATATATATATATATATATATATATATATATATATATATATATATTTGGGGGAGCTAAACAAACCACCCGCCTGCCGTTTGTGCTGGAGTCCAGTCAGGGTTAGTCAAGTCCCTGTAAGCTGATACGGCTGAACACACTGTACACCATCCAAGTTGGTTAGTTAATGATACCTAATAATTTCGAAGACTCTTCCACCAAAAATATTGAAATTAGTTTATACCCTGCGTTTCTGATGACGTCACGTAGCTTGTGTTTGTTTTTCCAGTTATTTACGGGTAATACGTTTTTCAGGTGCTTTTCTGTGAAGTCTATTAAGTTCTGGAGCTCCTGTTCGGCAATAAAATCAGAATTATCTTTTGGCTAAACTGAAGTTTAATAGATCTGTACTTGAGCTCTCTCAGCAAAGATTTAACCATCCGCTGTGACCTTAACCTTGACCCAGTTGTAACTAAAGACTGTCTTGACACGGATAGGAATCTTTGAAGTTTGACTGATTCATTATTTCTTTAAATATCTTTGTTCATGTGAAGAAATAAACGCAATTACAGTAAAAGTTATCCTGCGCTTCACTAATACAATCCCTGGACCTATGTATATAGATATTTATTCACCATGTATAAATAAAATGCAGGTTTACAATGTACAGAGTACAAGTGTACAAATAATGTACCAAGATAGTGCAGGAATAAAAGCATTGTACTTCTACAGTAGAATGTAGGTAAACAAAAGAAACAGTATACGTGCCGAGTACATAAATAGTGCAGGTATACATTGGCAAACATTAAGTCGATTTGATTAAGTATGGCCCACCAAGCCACCATAAGCTTTATGTCCAGTAATGTAAAGAAACAAAAATATCTCTCCAGCTGGAGGGTGTGACGTAACGATAATGAAGGATACTGTTGGGAAGTCACAGTGTGACGAGCATGGACTTGAGCTGTCTTTTACGAATATTAATGGACTGAGCGGCGCCGGCCTGCCGGGCTGAGATATATACTGTACTGTACTTTAACCTCTTTGTCACTGATCGGCCACGAGAAAAATGGCAGTCAATAGGAATGTGGCGATTTTATATTATAAGATACATTGTGATGCTTTTTGGTGCTTCTATAGTATATAATGTGTTGTCTAATGGTAGACCCTGCTGCCATATGGCATCACGAAAATTGTGACCAAGTCCCAGGTTGCTGATCTGACTTTCTGCCTTATTTACACACAATTGCAGGATCTCAATTGTTTCTCTTGCTTGGGCAACACAATATATATAATGAATATGATTTCTCTCTCTTGATTTATTTTTTAAAATTTGTATTTTTATTGTTATTATTTTTATTAGTTTATTATTTTATTTATTAATTTTATTAATTGGTGTAATGATAATAGATATTATTATTATTATTATTATTATTATTATTTATTATTATATTTTTGCCCCCCAGGCCCTGATGTGGGTCATTACCTGTGCCCGGATGCGCTAATACCCATAAAAAAAAAATTGCTGTCTACCGAGATGTTGACATTATAGTATGTGGACTACCGTAATACACTAACGCGTGCGCACTACTATACTGTAGACTTCAGCTTACAATTGCATTCGTTATTAAGTTAGGTTAGGTATATGTAGAAATATTTCAGCAATGTTGTCAGTAGGGGTGTTGGTAATAAAGCGGTAACGAGTATAACTCTCAACAATATGTCAAGGGTTCGAGCCTTGAGAAGGGCGTTATCCAGTGTGCCACTCACTACCTAACACCACAGGTTTCCCGGTCTCTTGTTTCTTCCTGTACCAACACTAGATAGACCGCCCAAACGGCTAGTGAGCTGATAAGTGGCGAATATGATAAACAAAATGTAGGACCAAAAAAATTCAACACATGTTCTTCACTTGAACTCCAGAACGATAATAATTTTTGTCTTCATAATCCCCCCCCCTTTATGTTTTACGTCAGTTCATGTCAGGTGGCCAAGGTGAATAGGATTATCCATAATCTTCTCCAGTTAATGAACGCTAGGTTGACCGCATGCTATAGTGTAAATATGGCAGTAGACCAACTCGATAGACGCATACTATAGTAGCACCTAATTTTTTATGAAAGAAATGCACACCTTGGCCTAAAAATTAGAAGCGGCTTTCTGATATGTGCCACATATAATTACTGCGCTTTAACAACTAAGGTCCTTCAGGTATCAAGGCTGTGGAAGCATGAGCCCAATAACTTCACGAAATTTACGTCATGAATGAATATTTCTTCAAGACACTGTACAGTAGTTTCATCTGTCAGTTTCATGATAATATTGATTCATAGCAGTCTTAGTTTCGTTCAATTTTTTTCAATTTCAATTGTTTATTCCTTGATAGAGGAAGCGGGATCCTAGTGCTGTCACTAGGTTCCCCTGTACAATGACACCAGAAGCATCTGGCAAGTGTGACAAGTATATACAGTATAAATATTATAAAGGGGCTTACTAAAGCTTAAGGAAGGAAGGATATTCCTTTAACACATAATTAATATTATTTACAAAATATCTGGCCAGTATGGGGAGGATCATCGTGTCTCCGTCAGGGGGTCGTGGAGTGGTGGTCCAGCAGGCGTCACGGAAGCGTTGTGTGTGGGGACATCTTAGGAGGTAGTGAACAAGGGTGCTGCTGTCGGGTCTTCTGCATAATGCACAAGAGTGTTGCTCAGGGGATGCGGGGATACCAATCTCCCAAGCAAAGTCATACCCAATGATGATACGGGCAGCAATCACGTCCCCTTTCCGCGACCCTTTCCCGTAGACGTACGAGAGGTCAGGAAGTTTACGGAGGACTTAGTTTAGTTTGTATTTGTATAACTTCACTGTCTGTGTAGTTTGTATACTGCACTGTTTATGTACATTATTGTATACCTACGCTGTGCAGTTTCTATATCTGCACTATGTATAATTTGCATACCTGAACTGTATATTTATATAATTTGTATTCCTGTACAATATATTGTTTGCACAACTTTACTGTCTGTACATTGTTTACATCCACACTACCGAGTTATGTACATTGTTTGAATACTCGTACATTGCATACCTGCACTATGTACACATCCTGAATCAATGTGAACTTGAATGACGAGTATATTGATTTTCTATCTATCTAAGATTCTAGACACATAATCATCAGTAGGGGAAACAACACAGCAGCAGTCTGGAGGGAGGGCCACCAACCTTGACTGAAAACGATCTCCACCAACCTCCCGGGTGCCCCATGGCTTATCTTATGTAACAGGACGCTGCAGGAATATTAATGCACGCCAGTATAGCCACCAGGAACTAACTGTCCACAAATACAGTCTACACACTTCAACCTCCGTTTCCGTCTGCGGGTTACGAGCTTAAACTCTCACTAAGTGTTGCTAACCTTCGTCTCCTTCCGCTATTTGTTGCTGCTTACTGCTGTAGTCGTAGTCTTAAGAGGCAGAATTCTGTCCGTTGAGTTAAGTGACTTTTATACGTTCTCATTTATGCCGTCTGTTATGGTATGATAATGTCCTTAGTTTGTCGCATACTACAAATTTTGGTTTCCGTTTATTAAATTTGGTTCCCTAATTTTCTTTGACCTATTCTTTTTATAACTTGAGAAACTATTGCAGTTTCGATAATGGTTAACATCGGAAGTCATCAAAGAAAGTGAGAAACATCCACAGTTATTAGTCATCGTAACACATATAAATGAATGCAAAATTTTAAATATGACTTACATGAAAATAAGACATAAGTTCGCATGAATATTTTCCCGCTGCTTTTTAAGTAACGAATCATAAGGCGTTGTTTTACAGATGCAGTGACAGAGTGGTTGCAGCGTTCCTTCCTCCTGTCACTGATGTGCACCCAGGACACCTCCGAGTTCAACCAGCTGTGAATGGGTACCGAACGGTTCGGGAAGTAAAGGTGCAGTCACCTCGTGAAGAAAAGAACATATTCTACACTACACTATTAAGCATGTTGTAGAGTGTAGACTCAGCAGTGTGCTATATTTCCACTATCCCTAACGGACCCGTCCTGCTTACGTGATCCATTTTCATCCAGTCTATACAGTATAATCACCTTGGAGGAGTGAACAGTACTCAGTAGAATGCTCATGCCTGGAACTAGCGGATACCTCGCTAACTAGGGGTCACAGCTTCAGGTTAAAGAAGCCAAGGCAAACTTTTTTGGAGTGAGAGTTGTGAACTCTTGGAACAATCTGCCCGTGTTAAAAACTTACGATGGCACCCCTGAGTTCATTCAAGTTTGAGTGACTATTTGACCAACACTGACGAAGGTTCAGATACATTCTGGCGCCAGTGCAGACCCAGTACTTGCCAACAGTGCGTGAGGTAAAACTTGGAAACCAAAGTCCCAGCCCATATTAAAAATTCCTTTTCTTGATGTTTACAAAATTATAACTTAAAAGCATGTAATGGAAACAAGTAAAATAAATAAGTGATAAATGAATGAAATTACCGCACATCTTAAGTTCAAATAAGACAAGGTCAATGAGAAGGCGAGAGCAGACCCAGCTGCTAGGGCAGAATAACCCACTGACTGGCAACAGGGCAGCGTGCGTCAGGAAACAGCTGACACGAGTTGGAAGCAGATAATATTTTGCTTTATGAAGAAAGACGTTGATGGATATTTTATAAGATAGATAACTAAATATTAATAAATAATTAGTACTTTTAAACAATATTGTAAGTGCGAGAAGGTAATGTCTATAGAAAAAAAGTACATACAACATGCATCAGCAGCAAGGCCATTAACAGTCCATTGCTTTATATACTTTCCCTTTTGGGGGGAGTAGTTAATAAAATAGGTAGATCTCAAGGCAATAAATAGATGGTGAGCATTTGATAAAACGTGTGTGGTGATTCGTGAAAACTACGTTGGGGACGTTGATGGAGAGACGAGCGTCTGAGCCAGCCGCCTAAGCTGGCTGCCCCTGGGCTGGAGTAGTGGTCTAGTGGAGTTAGTATTGGGCGAGCTGTGGTATTGAGTGGACACTGGTGCTCCTCGCCTCACAGCAACACGGGCGTTGACCTCACTTAATATGGCCGCCACGCTCCGACAAGTAGGACCCACTGACCAAAATGCCACCACGGCAGAGATAGACAAACAATTATCAGGTGAGTTAATTTATATATATATATATATATATATATATATATATATATATATATATATATATATATATATATATATATATATATATATATATATATATATATATGCTACTATAGTATGCAAGCTACCGAGCTGGAGTTGGTCTACCGGGATATTTACACTGTAGCAGCTACAATGTAGCCTTCGATATAAAATTGGGTATTCGTTTTACAAACAGCAATTTCCGGAGAGCTTTTCGTGGTGTTCAAATTATGACAACACAACTATCTCCACAGGAAGTTTACGTAAAGATTCCATCACAATGGTATACTTGTATACTTGTTCAAGAAACCACGCTAGCATTCTTTCTTCCCCTCGGTAACCGCATTTTAATAACGAAAACGAAAGCATTGGCTAACATAGCTTGGCAGCTTAATAAACGGTCAGGTATTTAGTGAAGATTTTACTCAAGTTCTGTAGATAACAAAAAAAAGGAAATCTTTACAAGGTCCGTGGTGTAATGTGTAGGTTATTACTTTATCTACTTTACTTTTATCCTCTTCACCACTGATCGGCTCCTTAGCCGCTTGGGTGATCGATGTATACTGTAGTCAACCTCCGATGCCTCGCACTAGTAGGGTTGCAGCTCTTTAAATAGATTTCTCATATGGTTAATACACACTTACCATGATAACAAGCGAGGTATTGTAGTATTTCCGTATAAAGTCACTACCAGAAAAATTTTATAAGGTCGAGTCAGTCATATACAGAGGTCTATCTCTCTATCTTTTATCATTGTTAGACTTGTGTATTACTAACCATGCGAACACATTTAAGAAACATCTATGTCGCTTTGCATCATAAAATGTACTTATGACAATAATAATAATATAAATGTAATTTTACCTATTTAATCCAACTGTTTGGCACAACTGAACTATGTGGTTTGCTGATTTTATACCGGACTGCTACCAACTGAACTACAGTACTGTACAATAATTTTATTGTATTCACATCGTTTGTATTACAATGAATCTGTGGTGCCAACTTTCTTGTGGTTTTGATTACTAATTAATTCCTTCACTACGCTCTTCCTATCTATCGTATTCTGGTTACCGCCAGACGATTTTATTTCATCTGAGGGAAGTTCCACCTCATAACTAATGGGTAAAATAAAACTTTGCTACTTCTACAAGACAAAGATTCAAACATTTCCATAATCCATTTGTTCATAAATGCCCCCTTTTTGCAAAGGAACACCGTGCTTAGAATATATTTCCTTCCCCTCTCATGGTCTTGTAACTTAGTACATTCATCTGTGGGCTGATCATCAATCTTTGCACTGTACTGTTGGTGTGAGGATGTTGATAAATCCAAATGGGGAGGAGATGGGGAAGGGGAGGGCCCACAGACCAGGCTGGCAGCTATAAGAACATAAGAAAATAAGGAGTCTGCAATAGGCTGGTTGGCCTGTGCATGGCAGCTCCTATCGAGAGTTACTACCACTCTCTATCTTCCATGAATCTATCTAGCCTCCTTTTAAAACTCTCCAGCGTTCCAGCACTTACTACAAAGTTGCTAAGATTGTTCCACTCGTCCACCACACTATTTGTGAACCAGTTCCTTCCTATCTCCCTCCTAAACCTAAACTTATCCAACTTATATCCGTTGCTACGAGTCCTATCCTGCTCGGATATTATAAGAACTTTATCTATATCGCCTTTATTGATTCCTTTCACCCACTTAAATACTTCTATCATATCTCCCTGCACTCTATGTCTTTCTAGGGGATGCAAGTTTAGTTTGTTTAACCTATCTTGATATGGAAGGTTTCCAAGTCCCGGAATCATTTTTGTCATTCTTCGCTGCACCGACTCCAGTGAATTGATAGCCATTCTATAATAAGGGCACCAGAACTGAACCGCATAATCAAGGTGCAGTCAAGAGACCACGGCCGAGTTAGAGGGCAGCGCCGACTACACATGTCCTCATTTAATTTAAATACAGGACTGTATATACCCAAGGCATTAGATAAGTAATAACATATTGTGTAAATGGAGTTTTTTCTTGGCTTTGCCATTATGAAATGCTGCAGTTGTGTTGATATATCACTGCACACTATATATTTTTCTGCATACCCGGTAAAGAAACTGTTTCAATATCAATACAGTACTTTGGGTGGGTATTAGGGAGGGTCTGAGGGCAGGTGCCAGAGGGGAGAGGGGGTAGCAGGAGGGAAGAGACAGGGGTACTGTAATAATCAGCGAATGTGTGCGGCTTCTCCAAATGTATGACAAAGGCCCCCTACGACAAATAATAATTTTTTAAATACAGGGGAATTAATTTTATTCTTAATTATTTACAGTTTATTAAAACCTTCCTGACATGATAAATTTTACATTTATTATATCATAAGACTGCAATATCTAACCTATTTTGCACTTTAAGTGAGGGCTTTTGTCCTACTCTGCAATTTAATTGAGGGGGTTTTGTCCTAGGGAGCTTTTGTCTGGATCTTGGCTTCTCCCAAGCACACTGAGCACTGTAGAGAGTGATGTTCCATTCCTTATATCCATTTACTGGACAGTGTTCTTGTGCTGTATTTTGCAATCGATAATTATTTTAAGTTCACTGTGGATATTATTTTCGATGCTTTAACATTAACTTTACCCATCTTACACAATGGAAAATAGTGTTGAAGACATATTAAGTGTTGCCAACATGTTTCCACTTTAATAAAAATGGTGGACAGAAGTCTGAAGTCTCCTCCACCGCACAACATTTATTTAGAAACACATTCAACACATACTTTTACCTTCATATTGGTTTCAAAGATTAAAATGTCTGAAATAACACCTGACTGAAAATTTTATGTATGACACAGTTAAGTGTTAAGACTGATTACAGTATCTTATCAACAATCAATCGATTCACACCCCAAACTCAGCCTTAATTCCTTTACAGATAAAGAAATACGTAGATATAGCCGATAAGATGGGAATTAGTTGAACTTAGAAAATTACATAACTTCATTTATATTTCACCATCATAACACAACCAGGTGTGATATGCACATCGGACATTGAAAAAAATTGCAAGCACCATCTATTATTACAGGTTTTATTTAATTTATTAGTATGGTATAGTAGATTGTTCTAGCAGCAACAAACACATGTGAATTAAGAATCACTGTAATTAACTTCAAACCTCCTCTTGTTCAAACTATGGCCAAAGTTTAACATGAACAGTATGAATGTTATATGCACAATATACCGGGCGAGGAAAATAATAGATATGAAATTAAGCTTCATTTGAATCTTTCAGTTCATCATTCACAGATACCATGAGTGTAGATAGAGGGGTACCTGTTACCCCCTTCCCACCCCACCTCCTCCTAACATTGCTTCACCTTGCCATATCACACATCCACTAAGCTAAAGATACAAGCTAATAACAGTCTAATCATATGGCATGTAAAAACCCTGAGGGTGTAAAGTCTAGGCAAAAAATTACAATAGATTCAGTGTTCTTAGGTAGCTTGAGTCGGACATCATCCATCCTCTGGAATTTTCCACCTTCCAATACAGTAATATGTATATACAACACAGATCCCTGCCCAACCCGGAATTTCGGCCAAACAGGACCAGTCTTTCCCCCAATTAGGTGAATTAGTGGAAGTTTACTATACTTTATGTGTACAAACTATGTGTGTTCAATGATCACCTTTGGAAATGTCATGGATAGCCACTAGGAACGGAACCCATCTGTAACCCTGGAGTGTCTGTATATTGCTTTTTCTGAAAATTATATTACAGTATTGTATCACATTATATTTCCTACAGATGACCTGATAGAGAGCCTGATCGACGCCAGCCTCGGGGCACGACAGAACTCCTACAGCCCATACAGCAAGTTCCCTGTAGGTGCCGCCCTCTTGGCACATGATGGCACTGTTATCACCGGATGTAATGTGGAGAATGTCTCTTACGGCCTCACTGTGTGTGCTGAGAGAACGGCTGTGTGCAGGGCAGTAGTAAAAGGCCACCGTAAATTCAAGGCAATAGTCATCACCGCAGAGATGGGAGATAGATTTGTGGGTCCGTGTGGTGTGTGCAGGCAGACACTGGCTGAATTTGGGTTAGACTGGGAGGTATACCTGTCCATGCCTAACAAACAGTACATGAAGACCACTGTGGGCAGACTGCTACCTGACAGTTTCAGTCCTGAATGGGTTACTTTGGGCAATCCTGCATAGGATTAGACCAGTCCCAAGTTTTGCTGCCTCTGGCTCATACCTATTCTACCATACTTGCAAGTGAAATGTAACCCTCGATTATCTAGCTAATGTGTGAGACTGGAAACTCTGCTTAAGGCCTGCTACCCAGGGATGTAGTTTGGATCAGTAAACGATATTATTGTCAATGTAGACTCTACATTGTAGAGTTTCCAAAGCACTATTAACTAATTCTTGGATTAATATTCATACACCAGCCTGTGTATTTGCTAAAGCATTTTAAGTTACCATGCAGGTAAATGTGCAGGTTTTATCTCTCGTGACGTTGAGAAAACAAACATACAATTCACTATTTCAAACATGTTTTATATTTTTTATTTTAGGGAGGGGGCAACAAAAGACACAGTTAGTTAGTTAGTCTGGGGTCTGATGGGAGTGATGGGTTTACAAGGTAAAATATTACAGACTAGTGTATTTTAGTGTTTGAGGTCAAGGATTTAGTACCTCAGTAGTGTTTATATACTGTAATCTTAAAATATATTTTTTTAAATCATTGGACTGTATACAGTATTACAGTTGCATAAAGCTCAAGTGTAGCACTATAATATGTTTTATGAAGAGTTCTCACAGCAGTTTATATCACAAGAATATCAAGCTGACTTGCAGGAATTTCATGTTTTAATAATTTTATCCAAAGAAAATGTTTTCTTGTTCGTGTAAAAATAATTGTTTTAATACTTAAAAAAGCCAACCTAGCTGATTTAACCTGAAGACTTATACAATGACAAGATAGCCAAAAGAGTCACTTTCTTAGCATTCACTAAAAATCAGCACCAGTCCTACCACTTCTTTAGTTCCCATTTAACCCCTTTGCTATGGGGACGTTACTTTTAATATTTTATTTGGCAAACACCAGACAATTTTATTCACCTCAGAAGGGGTTTAATGCCAATGACTTCATCACAAGTTCATTAGTGAAGTGATAGTTGTCCTTAATTGTCACCTCAATTTTCAACAGGTCGTTTCTTAAAATCCTGAAAAGCTCTTAAATACTGTAGTTTATCATAAATGACATCACAAAGTGCTGCCATTGCTGAAAACTGGCTTGTTTTTTAATTAGATTCCTGCCTCAAATTCTATAATGTCAAAACAGCACATGCAACAATTGCCAATAATTTTTAATTGTCACACCTTTACAGTGCAGGTATTTTGTAAATATGGAAGTCTGAGGAGCTTCTCTCTCTCCACAATAAATAAGTCATATAATTCATCATAAGATACTCAAGGAAATTATTTTCTGCAAAAACCTTTGACATCCATAAATAATTAGTAATGTGATACGTGATATTCAACATTAAATTCCAATTATTGTATTGCAATACCACTGAAGTGCTACACAAGGAAAATTCTCAGTTGTGGGGCACTTGACCCCATCCTCCCAAGTACTGCACAGTAGTAACATGCCCTTCTCATTTTACCATCATAAGGAAAATATACCTGTAGTGTAATAAGTTAAAAATTCCATGATCTATCATTAACATCAAAGAAGGAATAAATCATTGAGTTCAGCATAATGGACTGGGTTGCCACTCAAAAATTCCAGTTCATTATGGGAGGATGCTTGTGTGCAGATCGATGGGCAGCATGCCCACACAGTACAGTGATATCCCCATTATCTGAAATACAGTAATTGGTGCAAAGTGGTCCTGGAATTGAGAGATTTCCAGGAAAAATTTTCTCTTCCCTGGAAAAAATTGATTAATTTTCTTGGATTAAACATTTAAGAGTTCCAATTGGGTATTTTTTATCAACGTAAATTCATATATATATTTTTATTACAACATTTATCTAATAAACCTACCTTCTTACGGAGAACTCCAGTCTCAAATACCAATTTACAATAACTAACAAATTAAAAATTACCTGTGGGTGTATTGAGTACAGTACCATTCTCGGATTTCATGCGCGGACCTGTCAGTGAGGTATTGTAGTGTTCTCAGAGGTACTGGATTTCATCACACCAATCCCATGCAGAGTTAACACTGATGCTTAATTTCAAAGTTTTTGTGCCTTAATGGATGATGGATTTCAACTCTGGCTGCTGTAAAAATAAACATATCAGTGATCAACACTGCACACAAATACCTTCAAATTCATAAAGGAAAGAAACACAACAACTTTAATAATAAACTTCATTTTGTGTTAGACACTAATCTTATATTCCAGGTACATCATATTATCATATTCTTGAATAATATATTTAAGTTTCTTAATCACAGCCTTAATGTCGTCCTTTTTAATATCACAGTGCACCATTAGTCGGGCAGTTGTTTCTGTGATTGGCAACATCATTACAACTATCTGTTCACCCAACTCTTCTGACTCTGCATCAGTCACCTGTAAGGAGAGAAAAAATAATTCACAATTTCTGGTCATTGTTAATACAAAATATGACAATTTCATGTAAGATCAACCTCCTGATATTAGGTGTTTCAAGATCTACTGACAATAAAACATGTAATCTATACAGAGAAGGAACTTCAGACAAGAACAACTTATTTACTTTATGGTGAGACACAACATGAGTTGTGCCTGATAATGACTGATGCCAAAATGTTTTGGCTAATGTTTAGTTCTATACCGTATGGATGAATAAAACCATATAAAGGATAACATTTGAGAAGCTTGGGAATGAAAGCTACTGTAAACAGCATTGAACATGATAGTTAGTCTTCTGGAATGGAAAACAGGCCAACCATTTCATCAAAGATTCCTGTTTATATAATGTTTGTATACTTACTGATGCTAGTCTTTGGCAAAGTTTCTTGGCATTAACTCTAATGTTATCACAGTGAAGCAAGACAACATTGGTCTGAACTCCCTTGAGGTCAACTGTAATGGCACTACTATGTTCTTCTGACACACCTGTGAATAAAAAAAAAATATGTAGTTACTTGTTTTATTTAAAAAATAATCACATGTTCAGACTATTCAGGATGTCAGTCAACTTAATGGTAGGAGGTGAGTAAAGGTTCTTTGGACACTGACCATGGAACACATATTGAACCAATGGAGGCCAGAATTGTTGCTGGTCTTATATACTCACTCTCTCTCAGTATATATATATATGCTGATAACCACAAGGAAAGAAGAAAACACGAAAGCGCTTGGGAACTTCGTGTTTTCTTCTTTCCTTGTGGTTATCAGCATATACCTAGATCACGCGCACCTACAGTGATTTACTTGCATATATATATATATATATATACATCTTACTTTGAGCAATGGCACGAGCATTGGTATGGTCCAGTGTGAGCCTTGGAGCTATGTGGTCAAGGGCATACATCCCAGCAGCTGCAAACATGCCAGCCTGATGTAGACCTCCACCCAACACTTTCCTTACTCTTAAAGCCCTGTAAAATATTGACATTTATGTACATCTTCTTGTAAGTTGAACGGTGATGATTCACATAAGACTCGCCTACATTGCAAGTGAAAAATAATGTCCATATCTGTATAAATAATCTAACTCCTATATTAATGTATAATATCTCAAATACAACACATACTAGACTCTGCAAACTTTATGTATTTAAGTTTTATTCCTCCTTACTCATATCATTACTTTAAGAATATTCCCTAGCTTGTCATTATCCCTCATCTTTCATCTGCACACCAACTTACACTTTCATCACTAAAACACAATTTTCTCTTTTCTAATCCTAAGCATTTTTTACATACAAAAATAAAAATACAAGTGCATTAAAGTGGCATATCTAAGATTTATCATAAGAATATGTAAACAGGGGAAATACAAGCAACATGGAGGCTGCATAATAAGAGACAGAACATTAGAAAAACAAAATCTAAGTAGCACTGAAGATTCCTTTAAACTCAGAAGTGGTTGATAAATGCCATCCATTTTTACATGGAAGGAGAATTATGGATTAAAGAAATGACCATACAGTATGCAGTTTCAATATCCCTATACAGTACAGTACTGGTATATGTACTTTGTGGGAAACAATACGAGACCATGGACAATAAATTCTGGTATATAAGGGCTGTCACTAGTCACACGTAAAATTTTGGAGCATATCGACCCCCACCTGCACAGATAGTTGTTTTAGCTGCTGTACATACAGTATAAAAAAAAATAATAATAAATGAAACATTAAAAAAATTGGTGTATTTTTTACCTTTTTAAAGCAGAGGAAATTATTTTAAAGGGTTAATAAATAATGTTTTCACAACTATGTTACCATTTACTTCAAAAAAAATCTGACACAAATATAAATTGTTGATGAAGCATACTAAAAAAATTAAATTAGCAGGTTGTAAAGAGATACAAAACAAGATTAATACAATAATGAAGTAGAAGAACAGTGTAATAACATACAGTATATTAGCATAAAGCATTAGTGTCCTGTACCATGCAGCAGTGAAAGACTAGTTACTGAAAATGCTGTGTTTCTCATAGGTCATCCTTCTGAACAAAAGTTAGCAGTATATAAAGTTTAGACAGTTTGGTAAAATGTACATAGAAATGAACAATAAACAAACCTCGCTATAAACTCCTTAGTGCCCACAATAACTGAGCCCATTGGTGCCCCGAGACCTTTGTTGAGGCAGAAAGATACAGAATCACAGGACTGCACCAGACATGAAGGAACTGTCCCAAGTGCCACTGATGCATTGATGAGTCGTGCCCCATCCATATGTAGCGGAAGGTTTAAATCATTACACAGCGTTCCTAACTGAAAAAAATATATATACAGTATTAAGAGAAAAACTAATCCTGAAATCTCCGTTTCCGGAGGAGCCTATAGCCAGGTGGCTCTTGTAAGACAAGTTGCTTACTTGGGGGCTTTTAGGTCTTTAAATTAAACTTCTCTTCTAGTCTGTCAGCTTAGGATTGGTCTATTAATCTTTTTGGTATAACAATCACCCATCCCTTTCCTTCATATCATCCCTCCAAAATGGGAAAGATGTGGTGTGACGGTTGCCTTTTACTGATAGGTCTCATAGAGTTGGGTCTGTCTGATCAGCCTATTCCATACTCAGACAATGTCCATATCTTCAAAATTCAGGACAAATGCCTGACTCAGTTCCAGCTGACTAAGCCACTAACATATGGGGAGAAATTAAATACAGGTATCTAAGTCACATGGCTGTAGGCTGTCAACTATCTCTAAAGTGTCCCAAATGGCAATTTTCTTTGTTTTTGAAGAAACAGGCAAAGGAAAACCAGTCTGATGCTCAACTCCCAATGACATTCAACTAAGTGTTGAAGTGTAAGAGACAAATTGGTCTTAAATTCTGAACTTGGTGGACACAGCCTTGACATGGAAATATGGCATTAACACAATATTGCAAACAGGCACATTATCTCCAGGAAAATTTTTCTTAAAATTTTATTGAAAAAAAAAAAAAAAAAAAGTATTTCTCAACCAACATTACTCTTCAAATATGATTAATAGATGCATTAACTTACATCATCCATCCACTGTAGAGGTAATGCTTTGCCTCCCATCATGTTATGAGCATTTTCAACACATATTAAAGTAGTGACTGGCCAGTGAGGATCGTCACCCCGTACTAGAGATCTTAACTCTTGGAGTGAAAATGTTCCATCTGGTAGATTCTTTATAGAGCGATGGTGGATACTCCCAACCTAATAATGGAGAGGTTTATCGTTTAATATAAATGATTCCTAATACAGCACAAAAAATATAAATAAAAACAAAGGCAAGTTAGTTAAGTTGTACAGTAAGGTACATTATTTTTATTCACAGTAAACTGCACAAGGAAACTGTCTCTGGTCTGTTTTGTCTAAAGAGAAAAAATATCTTTCAAAATATGGAACACAATAATGGGAAATTGTACTAAAAAGCCAACATCCTCTCTGTCATTTATCACAGACTTTGTATTGTGGTTAGCTGTGTCTGGGACCTTGACAAGATGAGTACAGTACCATTAACCAGCTCAGTGCGCACCACAGCAAATAATTCTAGTAATTTTACCTAACAATTGGATTTAAGTTGTGTAATCTTGGGTCGAGTCCAAGTTTCTACCAATCAATGGCAACTCTAGTTTGTTATACACACCTGAAATACTAAATACAGTATGTCTTTATGGGATCTACCTCAGTAATTTGACAGCCAAAGAAATAGGTGGAATTTTTTGATAGGTCTCTGGATTTGTTGGTGGAGCTCTCAGATGTTTAACCCTTAAGGTGCAGCCAACACGTGCCAGAAACACTGCTGTCAGCACTGCTAGCATCATGTCCGGATACATGAATGCAGCAATGTTTGTAACACCGTTCGCATACATGTTGGAATCAAGTCATCAACATGTTGGTAACAGGTGAAGTAAAGAGTGTGTCCACATGAGGCAACCCCCATGTTGGCGAGTGAAGACGCCTTACTGGCAGCAGCTGCAGTAGTAATAGACAAGAATATTACTGATGCACGAATGGGTAAGACATTGGGGCTACCAGCCCCCTAAGACCAGACACAGACCCTTTCTCTACAGCCTTAAAGGTCTAACTGATCATGTTACAATGCATATCTTACTATCTGGTAACTCTATAGTCTGCCATAGACACAACTGGCTGCCATATTGGACCAAAACAAACCATGGGTAATTTTAAAAGCACAAGAATGTGTGTGTGGGTGTCACTGTAGCTGGGGGCAAGATAATTCTGTACACATGCAGTATACATGTTACCACAGGACACAGGGTTAAGAGAAAGAAGATCAGAAACAGCAATACTTGGAGAAAAAAATCTGCAAGTGTCATCCTATAAGACTGAACGAAATATAACCTAATACAGGTACTGTATACATCAATCTACTGACATAGGGAGACATCATGACTGTACCTCTGAGTCAGTTGATAGGAGCAAAACTGTTCAACACTTTGAAAAGCATAATGTGAAGGCTGACCTGAGCAATTCCTCCCTGAGCCCACAAGTGAAGATGGCTCTGGTCTCCAACTATAACCTCTGATCCACGGCCCCAGCAGTGTGTCAAAACTGAAGAGATTGTGTGCAAAGGAAAGTTTCATTATTTTATAACAATGGGTATTTTGTATAGTACAGTGGAACCTCTAAAATTTGGATCAACTGGACCTGGTCCTTTCAGTATTTAAGATTGTTCTAAATTTTGAAATAAACTAACAAAGAATTATAGTACATAACTATAGTATAACAGGCAAACATACAAACTTCAAATAATCAAAGGATGCAGTCTATAAATACACTCATCTCACTTAAAATAGAGAAGGGGAGGGAAAGAGTGTGTGCAGTGCTTCTATTCTTAAATAACAAAATAGATTTATGGAAGTTTTATGGAAATATTTCAAGCATCAATGATAGGATTATAATGATAAACTGTAGCATTAGGAGAACAGGTGATCCTTTTACAGGTCATTCTGGTCATCTATCTATCTATAGTATTTATCTCTACACAGTCCATCCTCCTAGACAGTGGAAGAAAGGCACCTGGATATATCTTTATCTATAGTTAGTTCCAAGTTTCACAAACAAGCAATGACAATTACAGGAAGAACAACTTTATGTAAGCACAGTGTGTACGAAGATCATTTGCAACTTACCACATATCAAATTTGCCATTGTGCCTGAAGGAACAAGGAGGGCTGCTTCCTTTTCCAATAGTCTGGCAACTTTCCCTTCCAAAGCTGTATTTTACAATAAAAGCCAGAAGATCAGTGTCACAACCATGATTGCAAGTTGTGAAAGTTAGTCTTAAGTTATAAGCCTTACCAAGAAACCATTCCTCACTCCCGGTGTCCAAATGCATCCAAATTAGCATGAACATCCCCACTCTTCCAAACATGTGAGGTAATGCTACTTAACAACAGTGCACAAAACTCATAATGGAATAGTTCCTTCTTATATTTGTAATATTTTCCAACAAGCCTCACAAGAAATCAATAAGACTACCAGCTCCATTACCAAGCTAAATAATGTCTAACTAAATGCAAAATTATGTAAAAGAAGAAGTTTACACAAGTACAGTATACTGTACTGGTGTTTTCCTGTACAACTTTACCAGTCCAAGTGTACAGAGCAGCACCTCTGACCATATTTAAAAAAGCCAAGAAATGTTAAATGTAATAACCTGCTTGATACTTCTCTCCCCCATATAATGTTTATAACTGTGATGATCTATATGTAGAACGTAAGACTCATACTCTGTGTGGAATAAAGTCTACCATTACCGGTAACAAGTATAAAATATATAATGGTTGCCCCTCGTGTAACGAGGATGGCCGGCCCAAGGGCCACCTAGGCATGAATTTGTTTCAGGTGTAGAAGCTGTCGCCAACACAACAACCACACCCTAAGTTAATGAGCTGCATGACCCAGTGTCAAGGAATAGTTCGAGAAGACCGGACAACTCGCCAACTGCACTGGCTAACCATTACCCCGGAACACGATCCACAAATCGATTAACATCCAGGTTCCCAATTACTGCTGTGTAGGCAGAGGCAAATGACGTAAAGAAACTTGCCCATAGTTTCACCCTGTCCCGAGATCGAACCTGGGTCCGCTCGCTTGTGAGGCGAGCATGCTGACCATTACACCACAGGTAACAAGCATTATGTCAGTGATATATGCATTAATTATTAACCCTCTATAAGAAAGGACTCCATTATTATTACTATCATTATTATAGATGGAGGGATCAGTGAAATATGGCAAAAGAATAACTAGAGATCAAACACACTGGAGACACACTTAAAACACTTTTCACAAATACAGTACAGTGTTTCTCTGTACAATACATAAGTTTGTACAATCATGTTTTTTTGTCAATTCCCTTTCCCTTCATCACATTCATTGTAAGAGTTATTACAATTAACATAAGTACAGTATATATGAACCTGTGTATTTCTTATGGACATGACATAAAAGTAGCCAACCTTTGACTGAGGGATCCTCGGAAAAAACATCATCTCCAACAGGGGCATCAATCATGGCCTCTTTCATTGCTCTACTTGGCTGGGTCACAGTGTCACTCCGCATGTCTACAATTCGCTGAAATGCAAAAATCCAGGGAATGAAATTGTAATCTCTAACTTGTGTATATTTAATACAAAATTAAATTAATTCAATAAACAAACTGAAAGGAGAAAGTTCCACTTATCATACCAGTACATGTGGCATTCCACTTTCATCAAGAACACTGGACAATTCTGTAGCTACAGTCACATTTTCACGTCCTTCAGCTATTCTCTTTTTATGTTTCTTCCCATTAGCATGTTTCAATAATTCAGACTTGCCAGCCAATAGTTCCTTATTACATGCAGTGCAGTATGCTCGGTCTGGACCACTTCCCTCTGACAGCCACCCTTGAAAATCTTGCAAATTCAACCACTCCCTCCGGAATCTGTACAAATTTAAACACAATTCAGTAATATGATATTTTTCATCAGATCATAACAGAAAGAATTTCAACGTTAAAATGTGCCCAGGAATGTAGTGGATCAAATGAAGCAGAGTACAAGTACAGTATCATAAATTAAAAATAATTTTGCAGGAGCTCTTTTCACATACTGTATATAAACAGTACTGTATTTTAAGTATCTAATGTACGCAGGAGCCCAACTAGTACTGCACCGGGCACCTAACCAGGATGAAAGCCTAAAAGACACCATCCCTAAGAAAGCAGATGCTGCCTCTTTATCTGAACCAACTCATTACTTCTTGGTCAAAATTCAAGGAAATTGGAATATAGTACATGCACTGTACTGGAAAAAATAACACCACTGTAATATACCAATACAGTATATATAACCAGCACTTAAAATCAGAGATCCCATAAAAACTTAAACTTAAGGACCCCAATATAAATACATTTCTGTGAATCCATAATCTAAACTGATTGTCTCCAGCAAGGCACAGAACACTTTTACCTTAGTACAGTAACTGTTTACTCTGATGGTACAGTATATGATGCCAGTGATCTTTCCCCGGCAATTATGAGATCTTAAAATCTTAACTTACAGGATTCAAATACTGCACCGTATTATCTAAACCCAAGGATTTTTTTTTAAGCACTTATATAGTACTGTACTTGGGGAGGAAGAGATGTTGGCAGGCAGGTGGTTGACTGATACCCCTACTGCTCCAGAGACAGTGGTACCATCAAAGGTTAAAACCAAGATTCAAGAGACTTTATTGAGATTCCATTTTGGTATACTGTATGTATAATGACAACAAAAACATGTTCCATATAACAATTAAAAACATATATATATATAAGTGGGGGGGAATCTGAATTTGGGGAGGAGTGGATATTCTCCCTCCTGTAAGCCTTACAAAAAAAGTCTCATGACAATCCATTTTTGGGGGTTTAAGCTTTTGCACTCATAAGATGCCTGGATGAACACACACACACACACACTAAACCAAATGAATACTGTGCACTATTGTTACTCTATCCTCTACTAAAGTGACAGGGGATATAATCAAGTGACAGCTACATGCACACTACATGAAATGGTCTTCCTAAAATCTGTTAACCGACTAAATGGAAATAGATAAAAAGAAAAGAAAAAAAGATCACAACAATATTCAGAGCATATAGTAGCAGTTTCCACATATCAAACCGCAAATACCCATACATGGAAGTGCTGTGTAGTACAGTACAGTATTCTCAATCTCAAAGCATGAATACTGTGGTTAATCATACCTCTTCCAATTTGTATCACTTGCTTATTGACTTTGGTTGATTTTGGGATTACAGCAAGATGCACAAGTGTGCTATTACTAAAAACATAAAATTTCTACTGTTCCTCACTTTTGACTGTATACACGTTGTCGCCTTCTCTTCTTCTCCTCTATAGAGTGCTTAAGCTCTGTCACAGCCATACTGCCATCAAGAGCATCTTGTTCCTCCACTGACACTGTCATCTCTGTAGGTACATCTCCTTCTTCCTCAAGAACTGGCATATTGAGACCTTGTGTTGCCATACCAGACCTATAATAAGAATATATCTTGAGTAAATTTTCATTTCCTTTGTTCATTATACCCAACAATATGTGCAACTATCACATGAGAAAACAACTGTCAGACAATTGTACGTACTGTGGAATCCTTAAACACTTTTGCACTTATCAAAATTCATATAATCTTATTGTTTACTGCCACAAGGGTAAAATTCACTGCTAATTTTTGTTCACTGTTAAATGTACTTGAGCTCTTTCAGGTCAAAACACTAACCTGACCTGACTTACCTAAAAAATATTACCCTTGTACAGTCAAAGAAAAAAGTGCATTACACTTACCGTGCTTTATGTTCTGAAACCCATGACAATGAATTTTTATAAAGTTCCCCAAATTCTTCGTAATGGGCTTCAGACCATAACACAGGGGAGGGTGGAGGAGGGGGAACAAGAACTTTTTTCTCTGACTTTACCTTTAGGCTAATTGTTTTCCTAAGCTTGACTGGTTAGTTCATGTTACCTGCTGCCATTAATGTAATCTGGATATACAGTAGTTGCTGGACCAGATCTCATTCATTTAATTTTCTCATGTTAATTTTCACCACTTGTCTGCTTACTAGCTGGTCAGGTAGTCAGTCTGTTCTTTGTCAGGCACTAATGATCTCTATTACGACCTTCATTGTCCAGTGTTATTACAAGAGGCGACCAAAGTAACCTTGCGATGTCTGGTGGAGTCGTGCTGATTACCGTATACATTACAGTGATAAGAACATGTGTGGATTAATTACCAACTATTCTTCTAAAGTACGTAGTTAAGCGTGACCCAATCTTGAGCATTACCCACCAGTTATTGTCTTGTCTAGTGGTAATTACTGAGGACTGACCCGCCGACGATTTTGCATAGTAAATGATTATAAAAATGCCGCAATTTCACTGTGTTTTATAGATGACACTGTTGTAGTTTGTACATTATTTAACCCAACCTAACTTAAATCTAACCTAACCTTAACATAAACGTAGTGTATATTTTGCAGTGACTGGCTAAGTTCCTACTAATGCTATTTTACCGTGAGTGCACTCTGATTGGCTAAGTACTTTCTGTTTAATATGATGGGGTCCACCCCTCAGCTAGGAAGTTTGGTAAGGTTAGGTAGGTTTCTTTGGTTGGTTAGGTCAGGTTCTATTAAGTTCCAGTACATGTCGCCTATTTTATAATGATAAGTTTCCATGCACAACAGAAATATGGTTTAGTATGTTTATAGCTACCAAATGCCGCCAGAGTCAGTCAAATATAGTTCTCGCATTGTTTGCCGGTAGTGGAAAATTAGCCAATCAGAGCATACTCACGATAAAATAGTGCTAGTAGGAACTAAGCCAACCATGGCATAATATCCACTGCCGAACATAAAACCTTTCAAGCAACTAACGAGCCAATCACTGAAGATGAAAGTATAACTTAACTCTTCGGCGGGTCAGTCGTTAATATTACGTCTCATAATTGGTGAATGTTTACACATAATGCACCGGAGTGTTTACTGAATGAAATAAAATTACTCAAGCCCTAACAAACACATTCCTTGCAGTGTTATGACAACATGACATGCATATTTCACATCATATGTTAAGTCTGATTAATTTTAAGCAAATAAACTTACGCAGCGAAGTGAGTAACTTCAATGGAGTGTTCTATATACTCGGCCTTCATGCTGGTCACGACAACCTCCTTCTTGCCAGTCGTCTCCTCCATGGCAGGACCACAGGACTTCCCCACTACGTCAGAAAATTCCCCTTCACGATCACCTCCCAACACCCGCCAACCTCCTCCAAGATATTTCTGTGTAAAACACTTCAAAACTAAACAGACTGGTTAATATTTAACCTTGCGATAATTATTATATTTTGTTGTAATATATAAATCTAAGAGGTGTCCTAAAATAAGGAAAATATCACAATACTCAACACACGTCACCAGTAGGGACGGGGAACTCCTGCGCTCATGTATTATGAAGGCGTTCGTGAAGGACTCCAGGTCTGGTGACTACGATCAATCATTTCTTTTCTACATTACAACAAAATTATAACAGTCATCAAAATTTGGATAAATTACCATCACACTGTCCAAGTTGAGAGAATAAGGATCTAATATAATAAAGCACAGTACATGCAAAAATCTACGAAAACCCATGACTCTAACTGCGGATTCAAATACAAACTCCATCCTGACGGTACATGGTGGGGGAGTCTTCCTGCCTCTGTACACCAGAAATTCCCTAATATTTGTTTACATTTCATGGAGCACGTGCTTGTAGGCTCAGGCATTGTTTTTATTGTTTTGAAAATGTGTTAAGAAGGCCTTAAGATAAACTATTTTGAAATCACGTCATTGCTCATGTACTGATACTAGACGGTAGACTTATAAAGGACAAACTTAAAAGGAACAACTGGGAGATAAGAAGCTGCCGACTTCCTTCCGCCAGAAAAAAAGATCAAATAGAATTATTTTATTAAATTGATGACATCAATTGACTCAAAATATTCCTCGTAGTAAATGGCATTGCTAATGGGTGAAATCGCCGACAGATCGTAGATATTTATTGTACAATTAGTAAGTACCGGTTATAAATTAAATAAAAAAAATTAATAATGTGGTGTTCATTCACAATTCCACGAGAAATTCAGACACGTTGAGTTATTCCTTGGGGTTGGGGGTGACTTCCCCTTACAATTGGTAAAATAAGTTGGAGGGGCTAATCTTTAGGTGAAATAAGTTGGAGGGGCTAATCTTTAGGTGAAATAAGTTGGGGCTAAACCTCAGATGAAATAAACTAGAGGGCTAATCTTCAGCCTTCAGGTGAATTAAGCTGAAGCTAATCTTTACGTGAAATAACTTGAAGGGGCTAATATTCAGGTGAAATAAGCTAGAGGAGCTAATCTTCAGGTGAGAGAAACTAAAGGGCCTAATCTTCAAGTAAAATAATAAGCTGAACAGCTAATACTCAGGTGGAAGTGCTTCCCCATCTGGTCCCCGAGATATGCTAGGGACTGTCAGTTGGTTGAAAATGTTCAAAGGAGGGCCACCAGACTGGTGCCTGCACTTCGGCACCTCAACTACCCTGAGATATTGGAGCGCCTGAACCTGCCTAGCTTTTACTACAGACGGGCAAGGGGCGACCTAAGTGAGGTGTATAAGCATCTCAAGGGGCACTACTCAGTCGAGTGTCCTTACTTGGAACTGGAGGACGCTCGTCCCACAAGGGGTCACAGCTCAAGATTGAAGAAGCCGCAAGTCCAGAAAACCGTGAGGGCAAACTTTTTCAAAGTGAGATTTGTAAACTCTTGGAACAATCTACCAGAGAGTGTTGTGACGGCACCGAGTGTGAGCTCTTTCAAGACCAGACTTGACTAACACTGGAGCAGGTTCAGGTACATTCAGGAGCAGGTTCAGGTACATTCAGGAGCCAATACTTGACTAGTACTTGCCAGCAGTGTGACAGACGTGACCGATCGCCCAAGCGGTAAACGAGCCGATCAGTGGTGAAGATAAAAGAAAAAGAAAGAAAAAAGGTGACTAAAAAATGTACAGTACAGTATAAGATGTGTTATGTCACTTACTGTCATGTTTAGTTGATCTTCCAATTAAGTATAAACAGCTATAACAATCAATGGATTAAATAGTTAAATTAATGAAAGATAAAAAAAAAATTATGCCTGGGGTGGGAAGGTCGATCAAAGGTTAGCTTATGCCAACTCTAGATACGTATATTTGACAGCAGTGCACTTTGAGGTGCTTATAGAATTGAATTAAAGTAAATAGCTTCTTTCTCTTTTATAATATAAACTAGGTAGCAAATTGCAGGCATTCTAATCTCTCATGGAAAGTGAGGTACTGTATCTCATTTGGATGTTCTCAAACAACTTGGCCAGCAGTCTATGGTACACTTAGTCAAATATCAAATTGAATTACAGTTCTGTACCCCTAGAGAGGAAGCCCTACACTCTTGAAAAGTCTGAGATATAAACCCTCTGTGACAGATATTCGTTTAAAACTTACCAGTTTATAAGTAAGATTTACCTCGGTGATCTGAGAACTTCACTTCTTTGTCAACATAAAAATCCAATCTTTCTCATATCTAGTTTTAAGGGAGGGAAATATCTTCATGTGGTACTCTTCCTTATTTTTGATACAGGTATGACCAAGAAGCATTCTCTTCATTTAACAAAGCAAAATCTCAGCATCCATTCATTTGACCATCACTGAAGCTGATAAAAATCACCCTGTAATACTTCACACCCCATTAGGTTTTTAAATTCCTTGAATGACTTTAAGTCATTTGCAAACATTTATATGGAAGAATGGCTGGCATCTTACATATCATTTATAAAACAAGTGTGCAACATTGGTCCAAGCACACTGCCTTGTGGCACACCACTTGACATAAGTACACGTAACAATTTTGTGCCATTCAACACCATGCACTGTTTACGATCACAAAGCAAGTATCCAATGAAGGTAGGACATTCTCCTGAATTCTGTGCCCTTTCAATTTAATTTTCACCCTTTTGCGCGGTATAGTGTTCTTGGTGACGTCAAGGTAAATATTGTCTATATTTCTACCACATTCCAGGGTCTGTGGTGGACAGACAGTAGCAAGTAGGTGGTGTTGTACAGGTACAGTAGTACTAATAAACATGGTAGGTGGTGGGGGACAGGCGTTGGTGGGCAGGTAGTGTGGTCTGTAGGAGTTGGTGGGCAAGTATTGGTTGGTGGGTGGTGGTCAACTAGTGAGCAGGGAGTAGTAGGTAGGTTGTCACATGGCTTTATGAGTTTTTTCTTTTAAATGACAATGGCTTTTTCTAAAGTATATACAGTATATATATTGTACAGTATATATATATATAGTAGATGGCGGACTTCACTCATCTTTTGTTAAGTCGTAACCATTATTTCATGGGGTTCATCTGTAGTTCAAACTCCCATAAACTTAGTGTGTTGTATAATGCATACCACTTGGAACAATAATGGGGCTACAAATACAATTTTTCAGTGTAAATTTGTAACCTTCACCTTTGCAAAATTTGTTCCCTGGAGAAGAACATCTGCATCATTTTACTTATCTTTTTTTTCTTCAACTTGGGCTTCCTTAACAAAGCTGAGTAATGGAGGATGGTAAAAGTACATTAATAGTAATTTTCTTGTATAAGTTTGTATAATATTAACACTGTACTATGCTATTACAAAACATTTTTGTACATCATAATTGTCAGAGTGGAAGATAGTGACCAAACCCTACCACAAATACATCAGGAGTAATATATCTGTGGCCAATAATATACTGCAATGACAGACACTACTATTCACTGCTAAAGGTAAACCACAGAAAAATGCAGTAGTCTTTGAAACTGGTCTGTTGTGTGGTTGAGAAACTTTACTACTATCACAAAACAGGCAAAACTGATGAAAACTTTCAGTTCCACAAGAATTATAGGTACAGGGGGTACTGTGTTGTGCTAAATATATGAAATACTGTACTGCAGTACAATACCTTATAATTGACAGTGGTGCAGTACCATAATGTTTAAGTTAGAGCATTCTTGTTGGCTTACCTTATCAAAAAATATAACTTCAATTAATATTCCTTTCTCTACTTCCAAAAGATTTTGCACAGACCAGCACAAATAAATAATACATCTTGCTCATAAAGCGGTGCAGCATATAATTAAGAAATTTTTGCAATCGGTTTGGGCTTACTCAATATGGAAAAACTTAACCTACTGACAGAAAGCTGTGGCTCTCCTACTAAAAGAGCTCTGTAAATTACTGAGAATATTTACACATGCAGTGAGTGTTTCACTTATGAGATGATCCAACCAGTACTGTAGTACAGTATATTGAATTTGTCAGCAAATCTTTTGAGTGTTGCTTCAGTCTAAAACTTAAAAATATGTTGATGATCAGTATCTAAAGATAAGAGGAAAAGTTAAAAACTTAACTATTCCTTAAGTCCCGGAGGAAACAGTGTACACGTATTAAACATCCTCAGGTTAAAATTTCATAAATTATACAGGTACAGTGAAATTTCAGAAAAAATTGAATACGTAACATTGTTTTTAAAGGGTACTGCAAGACTTCATTGTTTTCAAATATAGTATAGTACATAACTTTCTCTAAGGTAAGAAACTAATATACTACACTATAACCTCTGTTTCTTTTAAGCATACAGCATTGGCCTTATATCCTCAAGACCAGTACATTACAGTACATACCTAATGTGCCCCCTCCTCCCCCCAAAAAGAAAAGAAAAGTGTAATACACCTGTTTAACAATCCAAATTTATCCTAAATAATAGTGCAAGTAGTTTTAGAGCCAATATTACATCAATATTTACTAGTACTGTACTGGATGTTCAACTTTGTCAGCAACTTTCCATATTTTGCACCTGAATGCTTAATTCCATGGATGAGAACATACTGAAAAGTTAAGTACATACAATATACAGCTCCTTTAAATATTGTGTTTGAATGATTTATCCTGAAAATAAAACTTTATAGCTGAATCAAGACAAGGAGACTCGTGTATTTTATCCATCAAAATCAATGAATTACAATGCAGGCTAACTCCCATCCCTAAGGTTGGAAGAAACAATTACAGGTTGTACCTCTCTAGTCCGGCATTCTGTGGTCTGGAACGATTTTAGCTTGCCCACGGAGAAAATAAATTTGAGTCTGGTACTTTCGATGTTTGGCTAAATTTTGCCTTATTTACCCTACTATTTTGGCGAATTACTACCTGTAATAAAGCAACATCCTAATAAACCAACAAAAATAACACAAAATTAAATAAAAACTAAAAACAACACAGAAAAGTTCTTATGTTCTACAGCTTCAGCTAGAGTTGAGCATACGTCATTCGAGTAAAAACACAGACAACAACATTGGCTGTCCTATGTTTTCAGCTTTACCACCACTGGTGGGTAGAATTTTTGTTTTAAATTCAGAAACATTAATTAAAATATATATATGAACAGTTAATAAGTGTTGCTTTCATATTCTTATGTAGAGTAATTACGATATGTTTTCACATGTGCACACTTACATACGTGAGCTCACTTTTTCCTTTATCATTAATGGTTAGCTACTTATATTGTTCCATTTATTAATATTAAATAACATTACTTAAAACTACCATATTAATTTTTTACATTAATTTTGCAACAGCTACAACCAGGGTCTTATTTTCTTCAGTTTTATATGTAGATCCAGTCAGTCACTGGTTTTGTAATCAACGAAAACAATCCCGTCTCGTTTCCTTGTGTTTTAATATTATACATATTATTAATGAATTGTATTGTTCATTTTGCACACATAAAAATTAATTAAATAAAAAAGACATTCAGTAATAAACAATACCCGGTAATGAATATTTTGTACATAAGAAAAATGACACTGTTTACACGATTTGTGCACGTCTGAACGTTGGCGGGCCGTTCAAACCTGTCGAAATTCAAGTTTCCGCCATCAAAATTTTTAATTGCGTAGTGTTTTTTTCCAAATAAAAAACGTCGAATTAAAAACTCCAAAAATTTGAGAACCTACTGTACAACATTTAACCCTTCAATATATCTTCAAAGAGACCACGGAGCAGTGAAATTGGTGCTAGTGCTTCCAAGCGTAAGCACAAGTCACAATCTATCCAGGAAAAGGGTGAATTTCCATGGTCCGGCACCGATCAGGTCCCGAGGTTGCCGGACTAGAGAGGTACAACCTGTACCAATAGTACAACTCTCCATTACAATCCTAGCCCTCAGAGAGGAACTCAGGAGGCAAAAGTTACAAATTAAATGAGTCTTGGTGCTATAGCAGCTTGTGTGACAAAACCCTCCCTGTCAGCCACTGGCCACTTTTAATTATCCAGGAAAGAAGCCTCAGACCATAGTAAACCCATAGGGAAGAGAAGGGAGCTGTGCAAATTAAACGACTGGTGTCAGCATCAACCTGGGTTGTAACCCATACACTTGATGGGTACAATACGAGAGAATGCGCGAGTCTATAAATATATTGCATATGTGTTTATCTCCATATACTGTACAGTAAACTCTTACAGTCTCTATATAACACTTCATCTACTTACTGGCATACTGTAGATCCAAAATTTGCAATGCACATCCTTTGTTCTATATAATGTATGTTGTAATACTGCACCGCAAATTATACGTATATAGTACTATATTAAACCAATTTTTTGGAAAAAATTACCCCCTGCAAAAATCATTAATTAAAATTCAAGGACAACCATCATCATATTTATAAACAGTAGGCCCATAGCATGTCAATAACCAAGTGTAAGCATTTTACTTTATCATACTGTAATTACCTCAACTATTGAGACAATGGTTTCAAACCAGGGCAATGAACCCTCCCAACTTACTACACCTACAGCACAAAGGAATCAATCTTCCTACACCAGTGACACAGTAAATTATAGGCACTGGCTAGAGTGAGCTATGCTGCACACAACCATCAACACACTAAATACTGCATCCTGTTATGTGTATCAACCACATGTCTGTGTAAGTGTTCAGTACGGTTAAGTAAGACATTAAATTATATTCATATACAATATTGCTGAAGATCTTTAAGTGTTTACTTTGTAAAAAGTGAGATTTTTAGGAAGTACAGTAGTACACAAACTTCAGATCCAGGAATGCAAATTCTTGTTTCTCACAAACTTAATTTATGCAAATTCAATACTGTATACAGTACTGTAAATGAGGTTTCTCAAGAGTGTAGCACCATGCAAAGTGGGGGCCAGTCATTACTTTTTCATCTTCCCTCTTTCTATAAGTTGTGCTCTACTCTAGCATCCTCATTTTTACTTTGTCTTCTCTACTTGTTCTACACCCAAAGTCATGAAAACACAAGCTAGAAGTAATTTCCATCTTAATTCTCACACATTCCGCTTCAAAGAAAATAAATGGTAGAACTTGAAATGTTACATGACCACTTACAGCATATAAAATTAGGGAACACCTATTACATAGACTGAGATGACAGATCATCATTTGTCTCAATATGAAACTACTGCAATATGTTTTCAGAATACAGATCTTTTTTCAACATCTTGTGCACCTCATAATATGTAGTACTGTACTCATTAATACTAATAAAACGAAGTCTGAATGACATGAACAGTAGTTTCAACTATACCCTTACAAATACTTCTTATACAAATATGAAGTGCTAGGTAATCTAACTACTGTACTTATTAAAACTTACAAAAATCTTATATTATGGTACACAGTTTTTCAGTTACCAAGGACAAGAGAAAAGTATTATTTGCCACAGTACACCTGTAGCTAATACAGTTCAGTAACTGTTTTAAACTTTTTTTTTTTAATGCAGTCTAATAAATATGCACAAACAACATGTATGAGGAAAGTGGTGAGCTGGCTTATTAATATTTTAATAGTGCAAACTCTTAATAAAGAAAAACCTTGTGTACTCATTATGCAGACATGTGTTTTGTGCAAGTTATCTTTATGTACGTGCTGCCCTCTCAGTCTCAATTAGACATTCTCTCACCAGAATGCGTGCATGTACAATTCCTCGCTTCAGCCTTTCAGCACTACTCTTACTACCAGCATAAGTTGGACGAATGTCCTTGCCCATTTCCTCGATTACAGCTAATAACTGCTGATATTTGGACATGCCATGTGCACTTGATGTACTTGTACTAGTACTGCTGGTGGTCAGCCCTGTAGCTGCTGGACTGAGTAATGATGCATCCAAATCTGCTGGCTGGAGACGAGCTAATGCCTCTGCTTCTAATTTTCGAAGCTCTGCCAAATCTGCTTTAGATAGGCCAGCTGCTGCAGCTGCTGCTTGCATCTGTTGAGCCTCCAATTTTGTTAGCTGTGCTAAAGCAACTGAGTCCAGTTTTGTTAATAAGTGTGGATCTAACTTAACTAGCTGAGCCAGTGTGTTTACATCAAGCTTTGACAATGAATGAGAATCTAGTTTGGCCAATTGAGCTAGCTGTGCATCAAGCTTAGTTATAGCATGTGCATCAAGCTTTGAGAGCTGAGCCAGGGTGGCAGGATCCATTTTAGCATGTGCTTCTAATTTAGAGAATTGTGCCAGAGTAACAGAATCCATCTTGGCTTGCTGATCTAATTTAACAAGTTGAGCCAAGGTAGCAGGATCCATCTTCGAATGTGGATCCAATTTTGAAAGCTGAGCTAAAGTAGCCGGATCCATTTTGGCATGTGCCTCGAGTTTGGACAACTGTGCAAGAATATTTGGATCCATTTTGGTAAGAGTATGATGATCCATTTTCATTAAATGGTTTAATGACGAAACATCTTTCTTAGTGAGATTGTGAGGATCCATCTTGGAAAGCTGTGACAGGGCTGCATTGTTCATTTTGTTCATGGCCTGTTGATCCAACTTTGCTAGTTGTCCAAGCATGGCAGGATCCATTTTAGACAATGAATGAGGATCCATTTTTGCCAATTGAGCCAATGTGGCCTGATCCATTTTAGACAAAGAATGAGGATCAATCTTGGACAATTGAGCCATGGCAACAGCATCCATTGAAGCCAACTGAGATAGAGTGGCTGAATCAACTTTAGAGAGTGTGTGTGGATCTAACTTAGCTAGTTGTGCCAAGGTGTTGGGGTCCAGCTTGGACAGAAGATGGGGATCCATTTTGGACAGCTGAGCCAGTGTGGCAGAGTCCATTTTACTAAGGGTTGCCCGAGTGTGAGCTTGTATTTGGGCATCATGCCTAGCTAACTGGGCAAGCATGGCCTGGTCTAACTTAGAAAGAGTATGAGGGTCCAATTTTGCTAACTGAGCAAGGGTTGTTTGATCCATCTTAGCTAACATCATTGGGTCAAGTTTGGCTAACTGATTGAGAGCTGCTGGGTCCATCTTGGAGAGTGTATGATGGTCAAGTTTAGCCAGTTGTGCCAACATGGCCTGATCTGCCTTGCTCATTGACATAGATACTGCAGCAGCTGATGCATCAGCTTTAACTAACTGGGCAAGTGTATTGTGATCAAGTTTAGATAAAGTGGCAGCATCAAGTTTAGACAGTTGTGCCAGTGTTGATTGGTCTAATTTGGCAAGAAGGTTTGGATCCAGCTTGGCCAAGGCATTGGCACTGGCAAGACTGGCTTCTTGTAGTTTTGCCAAGTAAGCAGCATCTGACTTGCTGAGATGTTGAGAAGGGTGTCCACCAGAATGAGAGTGAGATCCTGAGTGTGAAGACACATGTGATGAATGAGCAGTGGAGTATGAGTGTGACGACTCAGATTTGCTACTGGAGGAGCTGCTGGTCATCATTTTGACATCTAGATCTGGCCTCAATTGTTTGGTTAAGGCTACTGGATCCAGGGTAACTCCCATTTTTGCCAACATAGCAAAGTCTATATCTGGACGTAACTTTGCCAGAGCCTCCATCGCAGCTGTCTGGGATGCTCCACTTTTATCCATCCTGAAAAAAATAAATACAAATTTGAGTTTTTATTATGTTTAAACACACACTTGTCTCCACAATAACACTCTACCCAATTAAGATATTTCAATTCAACTCCTTTTGAAAAAGTGACTTCTTTCTGATACTAATAAACATAGTGTTTTTTCTGTATAGTATATACTGTACTGTATAATATATCCTTTCAATTCTTCTTTCAATCAATTGTATATTCAATTATTATCACCCATAGTTTCTTATCCATCCTTCAGTAAAAGATCCCCAATTAAGCTGATACTAGTCACAATACACAAAGACATTCCACTATTCAGAATTACAAACTATTTTGTCTGCTATGTATGTACAGTACAGTACTGTTCAGTACTGTACATACAATTCTAATTTATCCAGAGCTTTAAAACCTTGAGATGAGTGGTAACAGTAACCTAGACTTAACACTCTCAGGGTTTTTATACACTATATGAATGGTTTTTTTTAGCCACTTAAGGCTTTACCATCTGTAGAAAAAGGTACTTGCTTAGCCAGTCAGCGAGCGGCTGGTGTTGCCATGAGCTCTCATACACTTGGCAGCAGTGTGTATTGTCTCTGCTGTGACACACAGCTTCATTCATGTCTTGCACCTCAAAAATACCTCCATTTGATGGCCAGTATCATTTGAATTTTTTTATATATATACCTGCACTGCATACTGTACTCTACAATGATATTCCCGTTAGCCGTATAATTGATGCAGAGCTCTTCCTGGAATGAGAAATTTCCGGGTATTGAGACGAATTTCTCATTCCTATAAAAAATTGTCATCCCTGGAATTTTTCCAGATACTGTACAATACTGTACATGGAAAAGCTTTCCAAGAGTCTAAACTACACATTTCACATGGACAGACACTATCGCACATCCCCGGAATGTTTCCAGGTGCTGGGGAGAGGTTTCCAAGAGTAAACTATGCATCTTGTATGGACAAACACACTCCCATTACATTTAGGTCGTAGTTACGAGTGAAAATATTTATAGCTAGCCCAAAAATTTTATAAACTTTTATTGACTGCATCTGTTCTACCTAGTTCTTATTGAGACATGAATTTGGTACCATAATAATCCCGAATTCTCTACAAGGCTGTTTCAATAAGAGATCCTCAAACAAAATAGTTAGACTCAATAAAATGATGAGGACTCAATTCTTTTATGAAAAAAAAAAAAAAAACGTAAGAAATGTTTATACAGTACCAGAGTCAACAGCTATATAATCAGTTATAATTTAGAAACACCATTTATTTATCTAAATACTTAATAGTTTATCTAAAAGTTAGTTTAAATAAAAGTAATCTCACCATTAGCTTGAATATTCGGTCACCAGAAAACTTTCCATTCCAATGGGAATGAGTAGAACAATTTGTTTACAAATAAGAAAGATGGTGGCAGCCACAAGCACGAACTTGTGTTCATTCTGTAATCACTTTTTTTCATATGATTATGTTGTAAATTGAGGCAATTTTTCTACAAACACAACTAATTAGCAGTGGGTGTTTTGCACCTGACCGAAAATACCATGATGTTAGTGGTGGTACTGTAATAAAGTGCAATATATCTGACCACTATGCAAGGATGTGCAGGCATTTTCTTAAGAGCCAGTTATTGTAAAGTACACGGCTCCCCAAAAAAATGATTTCCCAAGAGTCCCCTTATTCAACTATCGTTCGTTTATTTGTGAGAAAATGGCAAATAAAAAAAATCAGAAGTTCAAGAGCTCTCGAATGACGTATTTTTCATAAAAAAAATCCGTGGTTGGTCGAATCTACAAACTGACCACAATAACAGCTGGTGTTAAGCAAAATATCCATTCATTACAAAGCAATAAAGTGAGTGATTATCTGACGAACCACTACGTAGTCCACTCAAGAATTAAACAGTACCCGACCTTTTGTGTGGAGCCGTAGTAACTATTGGGAGGATGGCGGGCAGCTGAGGCTTAACCTTATTGGCTTGACAAGCTGATGTTCAGTTCCAAAACAAAGCTTATACTTAAACACAATCCAACAATTTACTTAGTTTTTACTTTATGTTACTGCAATAAACTAAAGAATTATATATAACTAAACCACTTGAAGGACTTACTCTTAAATGACTAGTGTTTGTTGAAGTAAATCACCTCTGACCCTCGGCTTGGGTTTGTTTACCTCCATCATCTTCTTACGTACATTACAATGTTGTAAAAAAATTATAATAAAAAAGACCACGTTATTATCATAAATAAATATTGATTTATATATTATTATATATATAAATAAGCGGTTTTGTTAATATGTTATTTTATCATCTTGTTTTTATAAATATTATCTAGGAAAATGACATATCTCAGTTAGTATTGGAACAGTGATGGAGTCTGTGGTGGTGGGGAATGACTTCCTCCTACAGTACCGTAATATATCATCCAAGCTCAAGAAGTAAGAACACTTTATGATTAACTTGAAGTAATGGTATTATACTAAATGCGTTTCAGGACTGAGCTACGTCTTGGGCAGAGAAATTGTACAGCACATAAGTAGTTTATAGTTACTGAAGTAATTTAAATAATTTCTACCATTAATCTATTACATAAACTTTTTCGGCGACATAGGGAATTAACACATATCACTGAACTGTGAGGTAAAGGTGTGTTCTGGAGATGTCACCTTAATATACAGTATAATTATAGTTTGTATTTCGTGATTTTCACAGGTACAGGTATTTGTTTTATGAAGTTATTTGTCGAGTCATAGACCTTTCTTATTCCTGTGATTTGACCAACATTTAATCTGATTATTTGAAGCTGGTGATGCTGATGGCCTAGATTACTGAATTCAGTCAGTTGCAAATGTAGTTAGGTTAGGTTGGGTTTGTTAGGTCAGGTTGGGTTAAATTAGGTTAGATTAAGTTTGCAAGTGACAGAATTCATTAATCTAGGATTAACATCATCAGACTGAGTCAATCAGAATGAATATAGCTCAAGTAGTGGAAGTAAATAAAGGTCTGTGATAGGTCAATAACCCCTGCCTTTGTTTGAACTAATAGAATGCAGATCTGATAGATGAGTTAGTAATACTCTTGGAGACTGTCCTCCAATAACTAGCAAAAACAAAACAAATACAATCATATGAATAAAAGTTGTATTTTACCTCAGGTTTCTTAAAAAAAAAATGTTGGCTTTTCTTTTATGCAAATACTTAATGTAACCAATAATGTGCAGAAAGTGTGATGTTACCATATATGAACTCTGCCCATGTTTTGTTTTATTATAGTTATCAAGAAAACAACAATTTAACTTTGTGTAGAAATGTAGAACCGTTGTTAGATACAAGGTACAATGTTCATGTACAATACTGTACTGGTTGACACAATGAATTTTAACACAACTGTTTGAATCTTCCAGACGGTTTCTTCGAAAACCTAATGTAGCAGAAGCAAGTGAAGAATTTGGTAAGTTAAGGAAAAATGTTCTTTTTAATATTTTTTCCATTTTTTCTCCAGTCTTCTATTTGTAATTATATTAAAGTTGTTCTGCTAATTTATTCCAAGCAACAGTTCCTTTCAATATTTTTACATCAGAACAATCACATTAAGCTGTATGATTTTTTTCTAATAATATTTCTTGATATGATGCAGGATAGCCAGACAAAATGTATAGTACCTGTGCCTATACTGTACCAGTCCATCATGGGCAAGTGTACCCAACAGTGTAGCTACTGTAATCATTTATTGTTGAGTAGGTACAGTTAACTCCACTCATTTATTGTAATACAAACTTGATGTGAACAAAAATAGTTGAGTTGGCAGTTGTTGGTATAGAATCAGCAAACCACATACGGTAGTTCAGTTGTGCCAAACAGTGAGGTTAAATGCATCAATTGCATTTGCAAACAGCACAACATAAGGGAAATAAACAGTGTCATTTTTGGTAGTCAATTTAAAGAGAGGAGATGTGTATCCTTTCCTACATCAATACCTTTCTTTATTCCATAATCTTGTTGTGCAACAAATCAAATATAAAATCAAATTTATTTCGTTTGTGATCATTTCTTGGAAAGAGATTTGCATGAAAATGTCTGAGTCTAGTATTGTATTAAAATTTTTGTTGTTAAAGGTCAGTTAGCCCGAGAGCTAAGTGATGGGGAAGCATGGGCACAAGCTGGTCTGTGTTGTGTGGCAGTAGCCAGGTGTGAACAGACTTTGGTCAACCCTACCACAGAAGTCTCAGCCATAACCCAGGCAGCAAGATACTTTCTCAAGGTAAATAGTGTTCATTAATATGGAACTGCTTTCTTATAATCATTTAACTCTTTATTAATTATGGAGGTTACTGTAATATGTTATGCCAGATTTTTAAATCATCAAGCTTCAAGCCGTCTTACTCATTATCTCTGTATTATCATCTTACTATAAATTTTTGGATGAATGACAGCAAGATGGCTTATTAAATTTTTTCTAAAGCAGATCTTATTTGTATAACCTTATTTTGTTTCTTTATATTCGGTGGTCAGAACGCCGTAGCTCCCACACATAGGTAACCTTACCTTGGAGTGCAGCCTGACTGTTTATAGAAGTTTCATGGCATAAGATCTGTTTTAGGTTCTAATATTACTAAAAAATAGATGAATCTTCTTCCCTAATTCTTTCCTATTAATAATAATTATTGTATGAATAATGTACTTATATTTTGTAATACAGTATTGTACTATAAATCTTTCAGGCAGAAGTCATAAACAACCATCTTCATTGTCCAAGTTTCAATGAACATCTCATGACTGCCATTAGCTGTTATCAGCATGCCATTCAGCTGTACCTAGACCAGAAGCAACCAAAACCAGCACTAGCAGCATCACTGGCTGTAGAATTAGGACAGGCAAGTTTATTGATATTTAGTAAAAGTTGATCTGAGCATAAGAATAGTAATCTAATTTGAATCAATTAAATTTAAACTCACTTTGCCAAAGGAAGAGGCAGGAATGGTTGAAGACCTTTTATTCTCTCTAACCTCATCCACTCATTGACATTTCTAAGTCTCCATTGCCAGCTGAATTCCCTGTATCACTGCAGATGTATCACCTGATTAAATCCTTATGTTGATGCTAAAGTTTTGTTTACCTGAAACTACATTAAATAATTGTACAGTACTGAATGTTAATTCATGAGAAATTATCTGCTTTATTTTCAGGCCCTTCAGTCATTAGGGCGGCCATCTGAAGCATTAATTCATTTACGTATAGCTGCTGACCTCCACTCTGCCTCCCCATTTCACCACCTGACATGTCTTGGTTACATTGCCTCTTGTAAAATAGAGTTAGGTTAGTACCTATATGATGTTTCATTTTGTTTTAGGATATTCAAATAATAGCTACCCGGTATGTTGCACCGTACAGTACTGTACATTACTTAATTTTTATGTTTATACGTAATGCCTGGATTGATATTGAAACTAGTCTATATTTCTTTGGTATCCAGAATGCTTTGTCCTCCCTGGGGAACTCTCATATCTTGAGGAAGTTATCATGTTGAGTCTAACCATGGCTTCATCACCTCCAATACGAAGACATTATTATCCAAATTTAATAAATGTAACACAGTATAGTATTTAATAGACAAGTGACAAATTGTCTGGTGATGAAATGTCTGCCCACCACTGACATACCTGGTAGCAAAGAAACTTATGTGATGGTGTGGTAGATCATATAAATGAATGATAGCTGACACTTGCTGGTTTTGAAAAAAAGTCTATCTGAAAAGAGAAGGAATTTTGGGTAAGGTAAAGTTAATGGGAAAGTAGTAGCAAAAATTAACAGGTATAAGTTCAGTGAACAATAAAATGAAAGTTTGAAATATGGATCTTGACTTACCTGTATGACCAAAGGAACTTACCTGATTGACCAAAGGAAAGAAATAAATGACCTGCCAGTTCTATACCATTAAACCTCATCCTGGCTAAGTCTGACTGCTATAGGGCTTTGATATTTTTAATGGAAGGATATGCTGTATTATCTAGATGAGTAGAGTTTTTGTTGCAAGAAACCTTCTCACTAAGTTAAAGATTTGATCACATTTGAGTTTGTGATTATCTTTACACTCTCATAAACCCGAAGTGTTACCCTAGGTACTGGTAAACTCGGTGCGGCAAGTTGTCAATTAGCTGCAAGCTTCAGAACCATGAATTTGTTTGTAAAAGAATGATCTATAATATTTTAATGGGATAAGACAGAAAGCACACACTTCATCATTTATGGAGGCAATGACAAATATAACTTCATTGGTTTTTAAGCATAAATTTATTTTATGATAGCGTCATCAATGGCTCACAAGACTATTAAGTACTAACCTATGAGATTTTAAACCAGCCAGGAATGAGCTGAAGGAGGTTGTGTCATTAGCACTTAAAAGTTAGCAGCCCGCCTATGTACTGTACATATGCTCCAAAAAGTATCTTTACAATTTTTTGTTAGACAATATGACACAAAAGATGAAGGGAGTTTAACAACCCTACCGAGACAAACAGGAGTTACAGTCTTGCTTTAGAAATTCATCGGATCCCTCCGTAAAGATACGGTACTTTTTGGAGCACTTGTACTTCCAATAGCCACACAGTTATGTGGTCTTTGTTAAGGTAACTTAAAATGAAAACTTAACTGAGGAATTTGTTCCTTGTTCAAAAGTAGGCAAAACTTTTGAAGCAATGTGTTCTTGTTGGACAGTGAGTTGGAGTGAATTTTGATATTCTAGCTATTCAGTGAGGTGAGTACCAGTATCTCTTATTCGCTCAAGCTTTAGAGGAATAACTGAGGATTAAAGCATACCCTTGACTTAGTTTAATACCACTGGGTTTAATTATTATTTCATGACTATACAGACAAGGATTTATCTCATTTTCTGTTTTCTAAGCCAAAATTTGTATATACAGTACTGAACTGTACACTACAGTGGAACATTGATAATAAAGACACTCGTGGGACTCTGGCTGTGTGTACGTTTAAGAAAAATGGGTTGATACTTATAAGAATATTTTTTAATGTACAGTACTGAACTTGATAAGGTTGCCTTTAGAACTCGTGAATGTCACTGATTTGGAACATAACAATGTAAGTCAGTATACAAGTTCTGACAAGGACTTTTTAACTGCTGTACTGTAGTCTAAGTGAATTGATGTGAAGGATTGTGGTCACTTTGGATGGTGAGATTCACTGTATACTGCGTTTGTGACTCGAGGATAAAAGTCAGTACAGTATGTGTGGATATTTCTGTGTGTCTTAGCCCTTTCTTTTATGCTTACCACACTTGTGTTACACTACTTTCCCTAAGTACTGTACAGTATTACCCACCTTCTTTGAGGCTTCTGTGATCCTTGATCAACACCCCACAAAAAAGTAGAGAAGTAACAATAATAGATACAGTAGGTTGAAGTATTTGTTGTTCGTATTTATGCATTATATTTTGACATCATGGAAGAGTCTCTTACTCAAAATTTACTATCGTTCAGGAGACCTGCATGGAGCCTTGATGGTGTTTACTCAGATGACAACCCTCATCGAGCAAACTGCTGAACAACCACTCACTGGAGCATATAAGGACATTTTGGCCAGGTATTTTATTTAAAATAAATTTTAATTTTATAATATTCTGCATATTATTTCCAGTTAACCATACTGTTTTCTTTATCCAGCACTATGAAGACCAACAGTTTATCAAATACTGTATGTGAATTTTCAGTGTTTTGAACAAGGTCATCCCCTCTCCCTCTGCCCCTATCCTGGAAACCGTGTCTATAAAGTGTGCTCTATTTTATCTTACCTGAATAGTTGTCAGTCCTAAGGCCCTTATTCTACTTGGACAATCAAAATGATTTAGTTCAGGAATAATCCTAGTCACTCTGTATTGCACCTTTTATAGGGATGTTATGTTTGTGCAGTTGAAGATAGATCATGTTTGTTTGATAGGTACTTAAATGAATAATGAGAAGGTGTGCTGCTCTACAATCAGTTATGTACGATACATTATTATAATGTGTTGCCAGAATTAGCATAACTACTGATGGAAAAGTGAAATCTTGTGTCTTAGAAAACATAAAGATTTGTTGGAAAGATTTTGTGGTACCCATTTTGTATGTGATATGTTTGACCAGAGAAATGTGTGTGTATGCATGGGGGTTGTCATAAAAAGATAGTGCAGTTGATATACTGTAGATGAGAGTGTAGTGGGGGGGTTAGTCCTGAAGTGACCAACCCCCCATCTAAAAATGGTAATCTAATTGATGTAGTGTAGATAGTGTAGTAGATGTAGTGTATGTGTTGTAATGTTGGTCATAGTTGCCCCTCGAAAACATAAGTGTTGTCTTCCAGGTGTGAAATCTCATCATTGCTCATCCTGTTGACACTACGGCCACTCCCCCAGCACACCAAGCAACCTCATGCAAAGCTCTTAGAGAAATACTCATGGACCACACCAGATCTACAAAGCCTTGATGGTAAATATTCTAGATAATATTTTTGTTAGGTTCATCTTATGGAATATCAATAACCTTGAAAGTTTTTTTTTATAATTTGTCTTATATGTAGTTGTAGATTATTATTTAGAGGATATTGTACTTAAATATAACTAGCAGGAAAGTCTTATTTTTTTAATGAGAGGGATAGCAAGAGTGTAAAATTAGCTTGAATGGAGTTTCCCTACTGTACCATAACTTTCGCACCACTGATCAGCCAGTTAGCCACCCAGGCGGTCGGTCACATCTCTGTTATAGATTGTTGGCAAATACCGGACATATACAGGCTCTTAACTATACCAGAGCCTGCACCAGTGTTGATCAAATCTGTCCCTAAATGAGCTCATGGTAGTTACTTTCAGAGCACTCTCTGGCAGGTTATTCCAAGAGTTCGCAACTCTTACACCAAGGAGTTTGCTCTGACAATTTTCTGTACATATGGCTTTTTTAACTTGAGAATGTGACCTGTAGTGGAGAGGGTATCCGATAGTTCCAGATATGAACTCTTGACTGAGTAGTGTTCTTTTAAGATGCTTATAAACTTCTATTCAATCACCCTTTGCTTGTTTGTGCTATAAACTAAACAGTTGAAGGCATCCTAATATTGCATGGTATGAGAGGGTCTTAAGTGCAGGCACCAGTCTGGTAGCTATCTTTTGGATATTGTCAATCAACTGGCAGTCTTTACTATATCTCCGGGACCAAACAGAAAAACAGTATTGTCCTGTACTCCAAGTGGAGGAGTACCAAACTATTGAAGAGCAATATGAGGGATGGACCATCTAGGTGCCAAATATATATGATCTTCATAGATGCCCCACTATACTCTGTTCACTCCAAGCTTACAACTGGGCCACCTCAGAGGTGGTGAATTAACAGCAAATGCTGCTGATCATTTATAACCTATTCTTCTTCACTTTAAGATATTTATGTTATCAATGTGTTTCACATGCTAATTATTACTTCTCTGACTTGTAATTGCAGAATATAAAGGAAATCAATCATTGTCTTGGTATATGTCATTTACTGCATATGTATATTTTTCTCTATAAATTTTTTTGGAGTTTATAGTGTTAGCATGTATTCGTTAATGTATACAGTATCTATAAAATATTCTGCTCCTCTGCCACACAGTGCCATATGATGATGCCGAGTTGGTGGTGTTGCTACAGTCATTAGTGCTAACATGTCAGAGTCGTGATACACAAGCTCTTGCCACTCTCAGTCAGCACCTGACTCGGTTATTAGGACCTGAACACCTTCACTTGCTCCACACACTTGTTACGGAAATGAACAGAACGTAACTGAAAGTGAGACACCGAGCTCACTATCATCATTGGATCTAGATGTTCCACAGATATCACATACAATCCCTTATTGGTACAGGTAATTACAATTAAGGAGAGTTCTTTATTAACCTTAAATATATCTCTAGCTATATGGTAATAGCAGGATTTTTACTGAATCAATTGTTCAGTCTTTTTGATTAAATGGCTGTAGGAAACTTTTGTGAATGGAGGTGATTATGTTTTTCATCTATTCATATGTGACTTTCCCCTTATTTTGTAACCTAAGCATTTGTCAAATGTTATTAAGCATAAATGAAATGTATTATATCTTATACTATAAACTGAACTGTATAAAAATTTGTACATAGATATAATTATTTTTTCTTCAGACAGTAGTTCCTCTGGATGTAACAACTTACTAAGTGGCATAGGTTAGGTATATCCCAGACTTCAGAAGGTCATGTTTATTGACAAGAAGGCTGGTTACTTTTGCAATATAAGATGATGGTAGTGGACAATGAGAAGTGCCTCAAACTTACATCAGATGAGTCACATTGAACCTACCAATAAATTCATCATCTTCAACATTCTACATCATAAATCAAGATGGATGCTAAAACAAGTACAGAAAAGAAATGCAGTAGGTTATGAAGTGACAAGACTACCTTTGGAAAGGATCATGGTTTCCGTTGGCAATACACATTTTGACAGTCCATATATTCTCAAAGGTGTGCTGCACAGAAGTGAGTCCAGGACTGTGCTGTAAATGCTTGCAGAATAAAACTTGGTGAATTTGTAATTCCTGGGAAGTGATAGACTTGCTTAAAATTCCAAAGACAGCCAAAAGGCAGAGAGACATGCACTCAAGCAGGTTGGAAGGGAATAGTTGGACTGTTAAGTGAATATTAGCAACAACAGGAAGCTGAAATATTTTGGACATGCTGGTAGAATGGATGAAGGACGCTGCATTAGATGCTTATGGTCTGTTCAAACACATAGTGACAGTAACTACCAATGTTGGATGACATTCCTTGTTTACTTTTATAAGTTTTGTTGGGGGATGAACCCAAAGTCATTTGTATTATAATGAAATAAATGTGATACTATATAATTGTGTTGAATATTTCCCCATGAAATTATGCTGTGGGGTGACCGAGATCACCTGCTCTGGGTGAGGGAAGTAATGTTTATATCTACTGTGGATGATTTTATCAAAGGCTACCAGCGGTTACATAAGTTAAATTCACTATCTGTCAGTGTTCTTCCATTCCTTTTTCTTAAAAAGGAACAGCTGCACCAAGCCTCATAATAAAAACTAATAAAATTTATTTGATAATTTAGGGTGAGTAACTAATTGTTATTTCATGAACATTTCATAGTTAATCACTGTGTGCACCTGATACACCTGTGAGATCCTCTACTCTTACTTCTCCTGTCACACACAATTCATTTCACTGTGAAGAGTCAATAGTCATTACTGTATGTTGTTTTGATCCAATGTCTTAATGCTAGAACATAAAATTACCCGAATGCAGTCTATCAGTGTGTCCTAAATGTACTTCACCCAATACATGTTCTTCAAAAGAGTGTATAGTTTATCTATGACAGAGGGAAGAGTACGAGAGAACTGACAGAGAACATGTATAGTTCTTTGAATTTATGATAACACCATATACTTGTACAGTTATCAGCTTATTAGGGAAAGGTAATACAAATGATACCCAAATTACAAAGGGGGTAAGTCTGGTAAATATACCGGGGAAAGTGTATCAGTAGACTCATTATTGAGAGAACTGTTGTAATAGCAGAGAGCATATTAGGGGAAAAGCAATGAAGGTTCAAGGAAAGCATAAAAGTGTTTGAATCAAAGGTTTGTATAAAGGAACTTGGAGGAAACAATCTTGAAGAGGGAAAGCAATAATAAGAATAAAGATTACTGAATAAACAAATATTAAGCAGAATAACAATAAAATTGAGAAGTAGAAAGGAAAAATAAGAAAAAATAAAAGAAGTGGATGATAGAGGCAAAAACAAACAAGGAAAACTACAAGAAAAATTAAAAGCAAGTGAAGAAGTAGAATGAAAAAAATTTAAGAAAGTTTAAGCAACAAATAATAAGAAGCAAGTAAAGAAGTACCAGGTAGAATGAAAAAAAGAAAAAGAAAAATGAAGCTACAAGAAATTTTAGAAAAAATTGAAGATGGAGAATTAAAAAAACTTGAAGAATGATTAGAAAGTGAAGACATAAGAATGAGGGAAAAGTGAAAGAAATGAAGAATAAGAAAAAACCATGAGATAAGAAAAGGAGAGGAAGAAGAAAAAGATGATTTTGTTTAATGAAACGAATAAAACTACTGTATTGTAATGTAAATAAAACAAAGCATAAACTGAACTTTGTTTCATTAATTCTTAAACTGTACTCGTTCAGTTTAGTTGTATGCCAGCAGCCCAGGGATTAACCCCTTGAGTACGATGTATTGTCTTCTTGAGTACTAAGAAGCCACCCATTAAGATATCTTTACCCTTGAGTATGATGTTTTAACCCCTTTGAGTATAATGTTTAATCCCTTATGCATGATGTCTTATCCCTTTGAATATGATGGCTAATCCACTTGAGGACAGTAATGCTGTACGTGTGATACTGTATTAAGTCAACATACTCACGGTATTAAGAGTAATGAGTTTTATAACTGAATATATTAAAATCATATCTCTTATTCAGTTACATTTTTGTATTTCTTTTTATGTACTGTACAGTATATAAAAATAGATGTAATTGATATAAAATAATAAAAGACTTTCTACATGACTACAAGCAGTGTGTGGTGATTAATTGCACGAAATCATCATACGTACCTGTCACAAGCAGGGTACCACAAGGCAGTGTATTGGGCCCGCTGTTTGTTTGTTTCATAAATGACATGCCTGATGTTGTACACGCCTCCATACAAATGTTTGCCGATGATGCCAAGTTATTTCGGGAAATCAAGAACCAAGTGAACTGTGAAGAGCTGCAGAAGGACCTCTGTGGGCTCCAAGAATGGTCGAAGAAATGGCTGCTGAGATTCAGTGTCACGAAGTGTAAGAGGATGCACCTGGGGCGTACCAACGGTAAGGAGGCGTATTATATGTCCCAACAGGATGAAGAAACTCCACTATTGACTGAATGTGAGAAGGACCTAGGAGGGCCACTAGACTGGTGCCTGCACTTCGGCACCTCAGCTACCCTGAGAGATTGGAGCGCCTGAAGTTGCCTAGCTTGTACTCAAAAATGGGCAAGGGGCGACCTAATTGAGGTGTATAAGCATCTCAAGGGGCACTACTCAGTTGAGTGTCCTTACTTGGAGCTGGCGGACGCTTGCCCCACAAGGGGTCACAGCTCAAGATTGAAGAAGCCGCAGGTCCAAAAAACTGTGAGGGCAAACTTTTTCGGAGTGAGAGTTGTGAACTCTTGGAACAATCTACCAGAAAGTGTTGTGACGGCACCGAGTGTGAGCTCTTTCAAGACCAGACTTGACCAACACTGGAGCAGGTTCGGGTACATTCAGGAGCGGTGCATGCCCAGTACTTGCCAAAAATGCGTAACAGAGACGTGACCGATCGCCCAAGCGGCTAACGAGCCGATCAGAAGTGATGAGGATAAAAATAAAAGCATAGGATTACATGATTAGGCTCCCACCTCATTTTTCACCTGGTGATTAAATACCCTACTGCTATCTAGGGGTGTGAGGTTAAGTTAGGCTTGGTTAATGTTAAGGTGATTAATCCTGAAGGTGAAATAAACTGATGACCCTAAGCACAGAGAATATTATGCTACCATACAGGTACAGTACTTAGAAATATAGCTTTGTTGTTTGTAACCTTAGTTCAAGGTTCAGGAGTTAGGTAGTGGCAGTTAGACTCACCTGAGCACTGAGCTCACAATAGGTAATGGTGCTAATATGGTATGCAGTCTACCGAGCTGGAGATATATATGTATATATATATATATATATATATATATATATATATATATATATATATATATATATATATATATATATATATATATATATATATATATATATATATATATATATATATATATATATATATATATATATATATATATATACGTATCTTTTTTCCTAGTACAGTACTGTATATGCTATCGCCCATCGAACTTCAGTCGACCTGAGTTACGTGAGTCAGACGTGACATATCACACCAAGGTTAAGCAAATACTGTAAGTGAGCGTTTTCTATGTACGTACAGTATATGCTGATAACCACACTGGAAAAATAAAACTCGAAATTCTCAAGTGTTTTCGTATAATTCACATCTTTAGGGGTGAGTATAAGATTAGATAAGAATAATCTTCCCCTGTATCTTGGTATCTGTGAGGCAGTTTTTATTTATTTTTCTTCATTACACTCCCTCGCTCAGTGACATGCTACTGAGCACATGGAATAATCTTTGCACTTGAATGGTCTCAGGCATTTTTTTGGTTGCGTGTTGTTTTACTTGTTCGTATTAGCTTTAGAGAAATGGCGGAATGTTGTTGCTTCACCATCCTGCTTCTTTGGTTATTCACCGGTCTTCTCAACCTCGGTTGTTTTCGTTCAGTTAAATAGTCTGACACCATTTAAGTTCAAGGACTCAAAGAGGCTAAAGTTCATTGTCTGAGATAGGTTCTTGGTACCGCCTATGATGGTCCGACGTCGATCAGGAAGAAGGGCTGGGGGTCATTTACCCTCGATCTCTCATCAGGAGAAAACATTTTAAAGACCCAGGAGCTGTTTACCTCGGGAAAATAAGGATATTTTAAGATTTTGGGCAATAGAAAAGGTTGAAATTAATGAAGATAAGTGTGTGTAGGTGGGGCCCTGGGCACTTTTGGACTTGAAAAAGTGGCTGAACACAAAAGCCCTGGTGGGGTTACCGGTACTCGCCTCTCGCCCAGCCCTAGGCCCTGGTGGGGTTACCGGTACTCGCCTCTCGCCCAGCCCTAGGACGGAGGGCCGGACCACTCAAACAAAACAACCAACACACACACACACACACACACACACGTAATGGTTCATTTAGGGTGGTAACGATGAGTCATCAGGTAGTTATCTCTTACCGCTCACTGACTTGATCACCTCCAAGTACCCAGTATGCTATATTATCTCACACATCACTATCTTTACATTTTAACTTACCCCAAAAAAGTAAATATGCGTTTTAAAAACGTTTAAAGTAGAAACAAAATTAAATGGTGTTTGTTTTAATCACGTGGGTACTGAGGCCTAACGTCACATAGCATTTCCGGTGACTACTGAGATACACCCTGACCTCCACTTGACCTGAATTAAGTTATTACAGTATAATTATAAAAAGAGCAGTCAGATTGCAGTAGATCACAGTGGGTAATGATCCAGACTGTGATGAACCCTTGCCAGTTATTAACACACTTAAACAACATGGATTTCTAAAAGTGAAATGTATTGCCAAAGTTTTCCTAATCTGATAAAGTGGACGACACGCCGGGGTGCTTAAGCTTCAAGTGGTAGGCGTTCTTTCACAATTCCCCACTAACTGAATGTGACTCTGACACGAATGTAAATCATGCTTACTTACTTATTTACTTACTTATCCTCATCGTCACCTGTCAGCTAATTGGCCTACAGTCATGTACTGCCCACGTAACTCATGAATATCATAACTGTATCCAAACAATGTACAAAAACAGTGCAGGTATCCAAACACTGTACATATTTATTATACAAAACATGTATACAAACAATGGTAAATAGTTAATTCAGTTAGACCTAGGATATGGACTTCCCTTGATCGAACAAAGACATGGCAAGTTTTATTTTTCCTGTAGGTCTTCGGTGCTATTTCAAGGTCCTATTAATTATCATTTCACCATTTATTTACTTTACTAGTCTTTATCATGCCCGTATTTTTTAAAACTTATTTTGTTTATATTAGTCTTACATGTTCTCATTTAAGTGGTAAAAATATCTAGCAAGACCATGGAAGTCCCAAGCGCGTTAATGTTGATCGCGGCCGTAGGTCGGTAAACAAAGGGTCAATGTACAGTATATCCATTATGCATATTTTTGACACATAAGAAAAATAACA